ATCGAGGTGGGATAATTCTCGCAAGTCATCAAAGACATCGAGACCCAACCCGACACTCAGCCACTACTGAGTTTTGGTTGGACCCTGCCTGCTTCCATTTCCGAGAGAACAAGCGTTACAGGCGACGTTGCATTCTCTTGTCCCCCTTTCATGCAGCTACCACGGCTCTTCCAACGCCATCCTGCATCGATAGTCACGGCGTCACCTCGGGTTGCGTCCAAGGAGACCCATAGCCACGAAGCCGGTATCTGTCGAGTCCAACCTTGACAGACGGTGGCTGCTCAGGTGCTGCGAAACTCCTAATGCAGGCGTGCCAGGATGCCGGGAACTTCTGCCACGCGCCGACTGCCTGATTCTGCGACCGAGGCATCGGGGAGAACGTCGCATCGGGGAAGATTACCGGTGGGTACGTGTAAAATGGCAAAGAAAAGCCCAATTAACTCAATTTCATGATGAAAATTGGATTTCCACGCCCACCGTGCGGAACGGCGAGTCGAGCTTGCGCAGGTCGATGGCGCTGCCGAGACTGAACAGGAGAGACTTGACCCTCCCCTCCCACAGGACCCCAATCTTCATGTTCTGGTCCAGCCGCGCCTTGATGACGCTGCCATATTCATCCGCGCCCTTGGGCGACCCAGCTGTGCCGGCATCCGCCGCCAGCGTCGCCGCCTCCTTCGTCCCATCCACCGCAGCAGGATCGTCGTCCAGCCTCCACTCCATCTTCGCCTGAAAGCTGCGTTTCTTCGGCTTATTCTTCCGCTCCTGCTCTGGCTCTTCCACGACAAGCCTCGGCTGCAGCTTGGGAGCCTCGGGTTCTTCGTCCAGCCTCCACTCCAGCTTGGCTTGGAAACTGCGGTCCTTTCTCACAAAGCTCTCGGCCGAGAGGGCGGGCTCGAGGTTGCGGGTCAAGTTCTTGCGCCACAGCTCCATGCCCACGGACCAATCGCTCTCGTAGCTGTATACGTTGAAGTCCATCCTCGTCGCGAGGCTACAGTGCTTGCCGGCCACCACCGCGTAGCTGGCGCTGATGTTGCCCATAAGAGGGTTGATCGTCATCGTCGCCGTTAGCGGAGTGCCACGATGCTCCGGGAGCGTCGCAAAGCGCCCGCCGAAACTCACGCCGCCAGACTTATTAAGCAGGCCGTAGTAGATCTCTCCGCCAGCGCTGAAGCGTCCGTAGATCCGTTCTTTCGCTTCGTCCGTGGCTCCGCCCAGCTTTCCGCCAGCCCGTAGAGCTTGTATATCTTCTGTGTCACCACCAAAGTTGTATGCGCCTCTGAAGCCCAGCAGACCGCCGTCGGACGAGCCTAGGCCTTCGACGGCGTACCTACCGACGTCGTACTGAGCCATCCCCAGGACCGTACCCCCGTTGCGCAGAAACTTTCCCGAGACGGCGCTGAGCTGGAGTTGCAGCGCGGGAGATATCCTCTTCACGACTAGGGCCTCGAGCATGGACTCGGGGAGGTACAGGCGGCCATAGAGCAGGGAGGCGGCGGCCGGACTAAGGAGGGGGTATGGCTTCCAGTCGGTTCGGGGTGGGAGATCGGCGAGCGGTCGGTAGGAGCGCAGCAGCGCCGGCAGCGGTATGGCATCGGATTGCGGGGTGAGGTGCGCGCGGAGGGGCACCGAGGAGTAGAGGTAGGAGATGGAGCCGTCGACTACGCCTACGGAGCCGAGCTGGTATGATGTCGCAAAGTGAGGGGTCGCGAGAGAGGAGAGCGTGAGGCGTAGGCCCTGCGGTGTTGGGAAGTTGAGGAGTGCTGCCGATGCCGTAATGTGTCAGTGTTTGTCAAACGTAGAGTATCGCGAGAGAACCCTGCGCCATTCATCAAGCCTACCATCTGCAGTTGCGTTGAGCGTCGAGTATGAGTTGTCACGGTTCCAGCCGGTGGCGTCGTAGAACGCGCTCTGCACGTAGCTCATGAACTCGCGCATGGTGGGCGGATGTTCAAGGTTGCCTCACAGGGCAACGTGCTCGCGACTTGCTATTGTTGCAGGAACATTTGCTTCGAAGCGCTGTGGGGTGTTTCGCGGATTGACACCGGGATGTAGCTTCTGTGTCCGTTGCTTTGGTTCCGGGTAAGTTCTGGCACCACCGGCCCCTCGGAGCGGGTCCGGAGCTTCTCGATTACATAAGCACGGTTTTCTTCGGTGCCCGAGAAGCATTTTACTTCAGCAATCACCTCCAGGACATAAGGTAACTCGCAACAGCTTCGCTGAGTGGTAATTGGATGCCCATTGAGGCACAAAATTTGTGTCTCAAAGTCTGGTTTGCTGTGGTCAGGGGGGATGTTCAAGAGCAGGCCGGTATCCTCTCTTCCTTGGTCCACCTTATCTGCGAGCAACTCCATGTGCGAAATGGATTAAAAGGACGCTCCCCGATTGGTGGCCTTGACCGTCTACTTCATAACCAGGACCTTGTCACCTTACTGCTGCTGGCGATATGGATAAGATGGACTTGCATTGACACCCGATCATGTGAGGTAGTCCCGTAACTTGTGAGACAGTCCGCCACAACCTCTTCTCTCCCGTGAATTACCCCAAGACTAAGGTCGCCTGCTTAACCCGAATTATCAAACGACCATCTTAAAAGACTTCGGCATACAATTGCGAGCAGGGGTGATTTAATCCGTTGACTCATAAATCAATTCAAGAGACACACGCATCAACGGCTCTCTGATGCAACCTAGGCATCAGCATTCTCTGAGCAGATTTCTTATTCGGAAATACGAGCTTACTGCTTCGTAGATCCAGAGTAATGCTGGTCAGCATCTTCTCGTCGAAATGCTAATGATACGATGCATCATACGCCCGAGGTTCGTCTTTCACGTGCAGCGTGCCTTCCATACCGCATGCTTGGGAATCTATCTCACCTCATCCGGCTTAGTTCCTAGAGGTGAGGCACAGCACAGTGAGTTGTTATGTACTCTGGGCGAAATTTTCACTCTCATGGGCCTGGAAGTCACGCCCATGTCCGTGGTAAAGAGCGTTTTGCCCCGGTCCTTGGTTGTGCGAGATCGAAAGCCATCTAACGAGGTGTGGATCTTGGTGTTGTTGGTTCACAAGCATGATTGGACAGAAGGCGCGTCCTGACCAATGAAAAGTAACGTTTGGCCGATAACCAATTTGTTTGCGGAAGAAGCAGGGCTGAAGCACTGCTTCGGCTCGTCGAGAGTAACTTGGCTTCGATCCTGTCTTCAGCATCTTCACTTGCTCCTATTACCGAGTCTCAATTCCCATTCCTTGGTAAGAGAGGAGAGGCAAGTACTACAAGATCTTGGGCCTCAATGAGAGTGAGCCCTGAACGCCGTTACTTTCACGCCGCACAATTACCTGCGCAACTAAAATGGTGTTATTATCGCCCCTGAAGAGGCGCAGTCCCGCGCCGACCAACGCAAACTCAGTCTCCAACGGAAGTACCAACAATGATCGACTTGTCACAACGGTGACGCGAAAGAGGGCAAAACATACCCGCACTCGCCTTGGCTGCGGAACTTGTCGGTAAGTGAACCTTTTGGCTGCAACATCCAAACACCGTGCCAATATACGCCTTTCTATCGATACAGTCCAAGTGCTACAAGAGGCTTGTGGACAGTGAGAGTAGCAAGCTGAGTGAATATTCTTCGGGCACAGGTTTCGCCATGTGAGATGTAGCATGGAAAGGCCTGCATGCCTACGATGCAGCTCTACAGGAAGAGTCTGCGACTTTGTTGTAGACTCAAACAATGAACGACGCAATTCGCTTTTAGCAAAGAGCGCATACGTATCAATTACGCCCCGGTCGAACCCTAATGATGCCATCTACCAAGCAGCCCCGCAAACTGGCTGCTGAATCAACTTTTATCAAGGCCACTCAGCTCCAGAGTTTGCCGGATACTTCGACGTTGAGTTCTGGAGCACCACCATCTTGCAACTCAGCTACCGAGAACAGTGTGTCCATCAAATGCTCGTTGCAGTTGGTTCTCTCCACGAGTATCTGAAGTCTGGCTTAGTCCAACACTCAGAGCCGAATGCCGTCAAGCTGTACAAATTCGCCGAAGCAGAGTACACGAGCGCTGTCGGTCTTCTCAATACGCACATGACCCATCGAGGATGGTCAGCTCTCGAGGTAACACTCGTGTGCTCTATTCTAGGTATCATGTTTGAGTGGCTACGGGGTAGCTATCAGGATGCTGTCCGACATCTCACAAGCAGCTTCAAAATCCTTTCAACATGGTTATCCCACAACGCACCATCATCAAGTACCACCTCCTTTGGATCTCCAGGCGGCCATCTGATACGGAGTCAAATAAAGCCAATCTTCCATATTTTGGTTGTGCAATCAAGAATGTTACCGATACCCCCCAGCGTTCCGCCTAGGGTAGTCCAACCCCCGGAGCAAACCCTGCCCGAGTTTTCTAATGTCGCACACGCTCGAAACGTTCAGCTCGACATCTTGACATATGTCCTTGTGGTCCCGCCAAAAAGCGCAGGAACCAAGGGGAGACCCCCCCTGATCGTAGCCGGACCTTTGCGCCATTGGTCCGACAACTTTACCCACTTCCTCTCACAACAACCTCACCTGGCCTCCGATCCCCGCGTAAAGATACTCAAAGTATGGCGCATAGTCACAGAGCTGATCTCTCTGTCCCATCTCTCCTCGGACGAGGGCTCACCGCACGAGCTGGTTATGCAACTCTCTACCTTCCTGGATGACATTGAGAATAGGAAGATTTCGATCGACGTAGGAGCGGTTGCGCTCTTCTTTTACATCGCTACTTACTGTCGCCATTTCGAAACCCACAGTCGAGTCATTGCTTTACTGAAGTTGGCAGGTGGGCCTTGGGGACATCACGTTGCTACCAAAGCTCAACAAGAGTACTCTAGAATAGAGGATAAAAACTTAGGACCTGGAACTTCTTGAGCCAGTTCCTGCGTTGACCCCCCGAATGATTGATCTAGATCAAGATATTGCGTCTGTTCAAGTAATTCGGAATGTATTTGAACTTTCCAATATGGAGAACGTTGTGGTATTTACTGGCAAAATCTACGCTTCATTCAAATCATAAGTACATGTATCTATGTCGGAATCGAAAACTTGGCCTGTGTTCAGAGAGGTCATGACTGGGCCCACTGAGTAACCTTCTGGAAAATCAGCTTGGCATCTTGCTCACTCGAGGACATCTCAGAGTAGTATCGCTGAAGATCGTCCTCGGTTGGCAGTGTCGCTCTGTAGTATGGCACGTTCATGTCGAAAAGTTGTCTTGACAGCTCTCCGTAAATCTCGGGGTGGCCTTGAAGCGACAGCACGAGCCCAGAGTCGGACAGAAGAACCTCGTTTTCCGGCGCCAGTGGCTTGAAGCCGCTCGGAACGTCCTGGACAAAGCGTTTGTGGAATTTTGTGATTTTCTAGTGGGATTGGGGCGTCAATGGCTGGGAACTAGGGGCTGATTACAGCTAGTATATCTCAATGGAAGGGGACTTACTAGCGACTCCTTTCCAAAAACTGCTTTGCCGTCATCGTTCAGAGCAAGGTCCTCGACGCCAACCTAGGGTGTTCACTTAGCATTTGCCTTGGAAAGCCTACGCGTTTCTCGCGCCGTTGCCCAACACTCACTCTTGGATGTTCAAAACTCCCGACCTTGCCAGAGAGAGCTGTTGCGATTGCCTGGTGACCCCAGCAGATGCCGAGCAGCTTCGTCTTCGTGATGTGTTGCTGCTCCACCACTTGACGAATCCATCCTAGCGTGGTGTCAACCCAAGGCTCATAAGTTGCCTGGCACAGGTTGCTCAGTCCGCCGGTGATGATGATGAGATCGTAGTCCACAGGCGCAGGGAGGTGACCGTCTTCCTTCATCGGTCGGTATGCGTCGATGATTGCATCTGGAACTTGTTGCAAGACGTTATCTCGAAACGACTGCAGCATCCCCCTATGCTTTGGCTCGTCGATCTCGTAGGCCTTGACGATGGCGACTCTAAATGGAGTTGCTTGGGGTAATGAACCCATATTTATGCGAAATGTGAATTATAGCTGAGCCTTCGTTCTTTGGCGTGGTGTAATGTCTATGTGGAGTGAAGTTACGGTCGAGGTTTGTAGGTGTTGCAGTGCGGCACACTCTTGATAAGAACGAAGTGGGTTGCTCCGTGTTCTTGAGTCAATGCCGTCGGAGTTTCGGACACATAGATAAGCTAAAGCGCGCTCCACCAGCCCGGCAAGGTGGTCCGGCTAAACTCGGAGCATTCACTTCACACCATCTCCGGGAATCGGACGCTGGAACGTTAATCACGAGGCTCCCCGAGTCCATGTAATTAGTAATGAAAAGAAGCTTGGTCCGTCTTATCTACTGCCTGGTGCCCTACGCCTACCAGTTATGAGCAAGTTTACAATCCGCCATGTGCGCCCTGTCTTCCAAATGGGTCGGTCATGCTTCTCAATGTTTACTTGATGAAGCTTAGCCTCAGCTGCCCGGTCTACTGCTGCTGTGGACCCGCCATTGTAGCTTCCGCTTTGAGCCCTGCCATGAGTCAAAAATAACCCCGCGGTCTGGGTATGGGGTAAGCTTAGGCGATGTCATGGTCTAGCCATCGATGTTGGTCCCTGCAGGTGGACCAGAGTAATATGGCCGAGAAAAGCGGCGAACAAAGAGCCTTTGAGTTGCCGTTCTTACCCCACATCCCCGGTCCCGGATCTTGAGACATCACGTTCAACGGCTCCGATTACCGAATCAGGAAACTTTTCACCACATCGTATGAACCAACCTCAACATCAGGAACCAAAAGTCTCAGACACACGAGGAAGTTTCTCATAGCACAAAAAATGAGCGGCATGAACGTGGGGGAAATTAGGACAATAAGGGTGATGTCAGTCATTGTTCTACGCAATGGCTGTGGCGAGGGTGCACGGCGGGGCAGCTTCGTCTACTCAGCTACTGTGTAGTTATCCCTCGATAGCCCGTATAAATATGGATAGACTGATATTTTTGATAGATGACTTAGCTCGATATTAGAGCTGGTCGCTCAAGGCGAGTCGTTGTCGTGAATGACCGGGATCGCCATTCTACCCGGTGAACTGTTTCCAATCTGTGGCCCAGATGGGGGATTGTGGTGCATCCTACCGTCTTGGCAGCCTCCACAGATCGCACCCCATTTCCAAGACACGCCAACCAACAGCTAGGAAACCCCTACGTAATGCCTAGAGCTGTGGATTATCTTCAAGAAGTCACCAACAAAGTTCAGCTTGCGACCGAGTTGAGTATGCTGATGTCGCCCCCTCCATTACCCTTTAATGACTTCATGTTGTATTCCAAAGGTAGAGTTTCCTAATTCAGGGGCTTTTGGCGGGCTGAAGGGAATGAGGGCTCATTTGTCGTTTTCAGCGACTTCGAAAGTCTCAATGGGCCGTCTCTTTCTCAGCTCGTTGGATGTTGCCAAGCAACGCCAATGCAACCCTGCCTTGCCAGCTCGCGCATCGCCTCAATTCGGGACTTTGGTATGCTTGTTGGTGCCGCAGAAGGATGCGCCGCTGATTATGATGTGTCGCAAAATGTCTTGGAAGCGCGCGTCCTGTAAGCCTCTTAAGGTCGGCGGCAACCCACCATAACAAACATCGTGGGAATCGCCAATTGTCTTTTTCGACCTCGTGAGCTGCTGTTTCAGAGCGTTAGTTGCGAAAACGATGGTGCAGCTTACGTCGATCTTTGCACGAGCTCTACTTTTTGCGGCGCTTGCGGTCGCCGCTCCGGCCGCGTCCACACCGCCGCTCCGGAGACAAGTCGTGGGCGACGAAGCTTGTGCCGAGATTGGCAGGGTTTACGACGAAGCAGTTTCGGCAAAAACTACGGGTATGTTATCGAGGTCCTGTCTGATGTCCCATGTTTTACGGCCTTCTGTTAAATATCAGGGCACGGTGCATTCTCGCACTCATCTTTGCCGTGTCCCGCGAAAACTTGCGGCAGGGGAATCAGGACAGGCAGCGACGGCAGAGACACCAAATGGAACGTGGGCTGACTCTTCGCAGATAATGTTGTGGTGAAACCCTCTTTGGCATACCAGTGCCTTCGATCAATCCCCGTGGATATTGAGAGAGATACCGCACTTGTTCACTATCTGAGACCATGGCTTGAATACCAGAGCACTGTTGATATTCTTCCAGCCCCGCCTGAAGAGTATCTTTACCCCGGCGTCGACATCTTCGGTGGCCTCGACAACATTACGCGTTCACTCGAGAATGAGGGCTACGAGTCTCAAATCGACTTTACTATTGATCTTTACAGGCTGATTAACGTCAAGCCGCGAGATGGGCACTTGTCCTGGTCACCTGTTTTGGGTGTTCTGATCAGCTTTTCTACTCCAGCCTTGTTCGTCTCCATCTCAGAAGATAGCATCAAATCTCCTAGGATCTACCTTTACTGTAAGTATAGACTTTCAACACTGGTATTTACCCTCTTGGTCATGCCACCTTCTTTCGCAAGACAAAATGATGAACGAAGGCGAAAGGAGAGATCAAAAGTCGCCATTCGGGCACCACTAACGTAAGTGTCTACTAGCCGACTACCAAAAGAGCACGGAGCAAGGATACAATGCTTCAGAGGTCAAGTCCTTTGATGGCGCGCCTATTGTCGACTACGTTCAGCAACGGTCTGTCGATAACTCTCGAGACCAAGACCCTGATGCAGCCTACAACGAGCAATTGTACAGCGCAGCGCTAGCGAATGTTCTCGAGACGACAGCTGCTGGCAGACATCTACATACAACTCTCAGTGACGAAAGCCTCGTCGAATTCGCCAATGGAACGGAGGCAACTATCGTCAACAGAGCTCGCATTGTTGCAAACTTCTCCGGCATTACGTCTGGGCAAGCAGTTCATGAGCGCTTTGAGGTGCCGCGCGATGACGGCGAAGCGGAAGTAACCCTCAATACCACCAGAATACCATTCTCTCCTGCCTTAGCGGGGTACCCTGAACCTTTCGTCATCCACGAAGACAAGTACATCAGCGGGTACCTCTTCAATGAGTCGACTCTGAGAGACACAGCTGTCCTGGCTGTGAATGTTTTCATGTCCCAGAACGGAACTGCTAGAACCGTTCTTGAGGCGCTCGAGGACCCTGTGGAGTTCACGAGAGTTGCTAGCGAATTCGTCAACAACAGCAAGAGCCAGAACAAGTCCAAACTTATCATAGACTTACAGGGCAACGGTGGTGGTCTTGTAGCCAACGCCATGAGCCTATACGCCACACAGTTCCCAGAAGCTGGCGCAGAGGCGCACATGAACATGCGGCTTCGCGCGCATGCTGCTTTGAACTGGGTTGGAAGTGCTGCCGAGAGACTAGGTGCAGACCCGAAGACCCTCCCTTACCCGGTTGGTTTTAATGGCTTCGTCGACGAAGACCTAAGGAACTTCACGAGCTGGGAGGACTTTTACGGTCCCGAGACAATTGAAGGCAACAACTACACCAATGTTGTACAGCCTCTGGAAATATCCTACGCTCGCACTGGGCTGCCCGGCATCTTCGAGATCCCCGAACCGTGGTTCAAGCCAGAGAACACAATCATTCTCACCGATGGTCACTGTGCGTCTGCTTGTGCCTACGTTGTCGGCATGATGACTCGCGAGTTAGGGATACAGGTCGTGGCTATGGGAGGTCGACCTATCGACGCGCCGATGCAAGCTGTCGGAGGAACCAAGGGCGGACCAGTCATTTCGCTAGGGCCCTACCAGACCCTTTATCCTGCCCTTGGGGCATTCATCAAGCCTCCAGATGAGATCGACATGACACCTTTTGCCGAGCCGAACCCCCCGCTCGCAGGTTTACCTACGGATACTTGGACTGTCAACTCGGCCAACATCTACCTTGACGACGATCTCGATGGCGTTCCGGTGCAATTCAGGTACGAGGCGGCAAATTGCAAGCTCTACTATACTTGGGAGACCTTGACAAACATGACCAGTCTGTGGACCGCGGTGGCAAACGTGAAATGGAATGGCGCCAAGTGTGTACCGGGCTCGACCACCAATGAAGATGACACCATAGGATCAGTGCCTGGGTATACGGACAAGGTTGTGTCCAACTTCAAGTGGGCAGCCGGCCCTGGAGACGTGAATGGGGCGTCAGGGTCCGGCAATGGGGAAGGCGGAAACGGTGGTAACAATGAGGAGAGTTCCAGTGATGAGGACCAGAATGCTGCTGGTTCGCTCCGGGCTAGTTGGAAAATGTTGGCCGTTGTGCTATCTGTCTCTACGGTGCTGTTTGTCTTGTGATAGAAGACCGCACACCTTACAGAGATGAGCGAATGGCACCGGGGAACAAGGCGAATAGATCAACCATATCTGACTCAAATTACCGTGGAAGCTGCGCAGCTTACTGCCCATATCTTCTTCCGATCGGATAATAGCAAGACAAAATGAATCGCATCTGTGCGAAGCGTACTGGATCTTAGGAAATAGGGGTTGGAAACTCTGCGATACCAAAATAAGGGGCTAAGGTGTTGCCCCTTACATCACATTCATCCGAGGAATGGCTCGATTGAGTCCATGAAACTTGGTGATCCCGGCGTTGAACAGATACTCTGGACAAACTTGACAACTCGTTTACCGTAGGCATTTGCTATCTCGTCACCGTGCCATCATTCAAGCAAATTAATACCGATGTCAGAGACTCCGCATCCGCTGGAACCATGTGTTGGCGATCGATACCTAAATCTCATTTCAACTGGCCTAGCGCAGGTATGGGGATTTAGCTTTTTGTTTGCCTCCGGCATTGAGCGCGTCATCTCAGAGACCTCTGCTACACGGCCTTGGTCGAAAGGGGCTTGTCTCCCAACATTTTGAAGACGTGAGTGTCTGGGGCTCCGAGCTCCTTTCGTCTTGGAATGGATTTAACTCCCCAGCTCAACCTTTCCAATACCCTGCAGGTCTCCGATCATGTTGTCTGCTTGAAATCACTGCATCAATGACAACTTTGCTGAAAGCCTCACTGGATGGTGGCCATCGACGCCGAATTCTCATGATGGAGTCGCAGAAACCCAAGAGCCATGATCCGGATCTCCTTGCCGTTATTGCGAAGCTGCATGACGAAGGGCTTGGAAACTATATTTAGCTCCCCCGCATTGTGATATGTGGGAGCCAGCACTCATACATCGATGAACTGGTCATTGAGACAACCACGGATCTTTGGGATGCGTTGATCTCCCCCCGCCCTCACATAAATCATCGCTCCGTCTCTGCCTCATTTGACCGTGGTGGAAACTCCCGGGCTCTTTTATGGACGCGACTTGATCTTGATGTACAAAGACAGACACGTGAAAGGAGAATTGACCATGTTGTATTTGGAAGACCCTCGAAGTATCATGGCGCTTGTGACAACGGGCAAAACCGAAGATAGGTTTCAATCACTTCCGGCACTGGCACGCAAGCTTGATCTAACTGGAGGTAGAACTCTTGCGATTCTCATTGACCCACTCGATGCTGCTGAAGATACGAGCTCACCAACAGGGTACTCCCTTTCGAGTGACAAGAGTCAGAACTTCTCACGAAAGCAAAGGAAATGTACGCCAGGTTCCCGTGTGATTTTGGCTGGCATTCTCAGATCAGAACCGAATCTCTACGTGAACTTTTCGAACCTCGGAGCCTGTCGAGAACCTCCTCATCTGCATACATCTGGTCGCCCGGAGACCCAGATCACCGCCAAGGTAGCCCTCTTGGCTGGCGACTCGGCGGGGTCTTCAGCAAATTTACGCGCCTCCAGCTTTCTGGTCTTGTCAGCAACTTGGAAGCTTGTGTCAATGGGTACAAGAAAAGGCTATAGGATACACCCGACATTCTGGCCCCTGTGGCGCTGCAACGGCAACGCCTGCTGAAAGTAGCTTCGTCATACTCGTCCTTGATGAAATCCGCCATTGATGCCTGCTGCGACGACGAATTCTTCCACGAAGAGGAGAGCGCCGATGATAAGAAGTTCAGTCAGCGTCTTCGAGCCGTCAATCAAAACATCATCGCGGAATTCGGAGAGCAAATGCATCGTGAGGACCACACCCATGCCACCGTGGATCCAGCTGTGGAAAATGCAGAACGACCGAGTCCGCTTTTAGCATTCCACCCTATAAACACGAACGCAAATCATGTGAGAGATCTGATGGATCAAAGCAAAGGACGACAGACTCCTGGTAGTGTCAATTCTTCCGTCATTTCAGAGTTGATAGTTGAGCAATGTCAACATTGGGATCGGATTTTGGACAGCTTTACTTCTCGTATCATCGAGGCTGTTCGATGCACCTCGAAGAGTATCATCGAACATGATTCAGATGGATTTAACAAGGACTTCAAGAACAGTTTTTCGAGAAACTGATTAATCAGCTCGAGACAGATTTTCGTCACAAGACCTACGAGTTGGGGCCTGCGTCGGCGGCTCGACGAGAACTTGATACATAATGGCCAAATCGAGAGTTCTAGGTCACTATTCATGTGGCATAATGGGATGGACTAATGTGAATGTTGCTCCCAGATAAAGAGATTCGAAGTTGACTTATTTAATCTTTACACAGTCTCTTTCAGTTGCTTTTTGAAGTTGAGGTGAAGGGCTGGCCCAATGATGTAGGTGGAAGATGGCAATCAGCACGTTGCCAACTGCCCTGGGCTACACGCCTAGTCCAAGATCGTTCATAGAAAGGAAAAGCATGTACAGATATGAGTGCCTAGTTTGTACTTGATTACATTCGAGTAGCACGTGTCGCATCGATACAGGCATGTGGATCACCCCGCAACACTTGATCACTGTCCAAGTCCCGGAGATTCTCTGCTTTTCCCTTCAGAGCAGTTTCCACGTCTCTGATAAGCCCAAGAGATGCGAGGATATGAATTGAGAATGATCCAAGGTGATTCCTACTCAAGAATCGCCTACTTACTTGCTTATTAATGAGTGTTATGTTTAAGCAAACATTGAAGGAATGCGGCGTAGGGAGCACGGTCAAATAGGCGGCAAGCTGGATGTCTGCTATTTTGCACAATTGATGAGATTTAGCTACCTCGCATACAATGCGGTTCTTGATGCCGATTGTAGAAATCAAAGAATTTCGTTGGTATTGTGTGACTTGAGAGTATTGCATGGGCTAGGCAATTGGCTAATAGCATGGTGAGACCACGTCCAAAAGAACCCAATTCCACAGGTGCAGTCGGTCACCAGAACTCATGACAGATAAGTAGTCCGATAAACGCCGCTGCCAGGGGAAAGCAGGGTTGGTGCTACTTAAGCTCAATGGAGAGATACGACGGAGATGAATTACTCTCTGCGGAGACTCCCTTGTAGGGCTAGTGCGGCTTCTCCTGATATGGCGTTTGAGCCGTGGGAGCTCGCAGCGAGAAAAGTCAAAAAGAATTAAGCACTCTAAATCTGAAACGCTTCGGATGCCCGGCTTAGAGCGCTCCACTCGCCCTTTCGGATCCGGCACGGCGTAAACGGCACGCAGGCCTGGCCAGGCTCTGCCCCAGAAAGATCGTCCTCACCCAGGCAAAGCCAAGACTTTGGCAGCTTGGGTGATGGAAACAAATCAACTTCATGTCTTAAAAGGGTGCTTCGGTTCCAAGAACTATTCATGTTGACATGAGTATTGGAATCGTCAACATAATATTGAGTTAAGCATCGTTGTATCTAAGATTGCAACGGTCGAACCTTAACCTAATCACTTGGGAGTTGATGGTTTAATGACACGATCCCGGGAGTGCGCTGATTTCAAAAAGTAACGTGCTCATTTACCCGCGTGGTTGGCCCAATATTTGCCCGCTGCGCCGCATCCCATCCTTTTACCTCCCCGGGAAATCTAACCAACAGAGGAGTCACAAACATCAGACGAACCACAAGGCGAGGCGCCAGGAGAAGTGGCGAACCGCCAAAAGAACCACTCTAGAACGCCGCCAAGGAAATGAAGGAGGATAAACCAAATGAAGGGAGAGCAGGCAATATCCCGGTAACACCACTAGATCGTGCCTCGCGTGTCCACAAACAAGCAATTCTGCCCCTCACGTCACCACCCACGGGGGCCAAGCCGGTGCGAGAGGGCGATGGGGCGATCCAGCGAATGCGGTGGCCCCACGAATGCCATCCATGTAGCAGGGATCTCGACCTTCACCGTTCCGGCCAGTCGGCACCATGATCGGTCTAGGTTGTATTGGGACGGTAATCTCAACTACAGGAGTAACGCAAATATAAGATCTCGAGCCAGACTTGTTCTCTGAGAGGGAGAATATCGCTGTTCGTTCCATACCACCAAGTTTCTTCTTTCCCCTCGTTTAGGGCCTTACACTCTTTTGCATCACCACGTTCATTCACAAACTTTAGTCACTCCTTTTCAGACTTACACACACTCTTTTTTACCCTGAATCTGGAATTCATCATGAAGGGACTCATCCTCAGCACCGCTCTCGTCAGCGGAGCTATGGCCGCGGCCGGCCCCTACATGCCCTGCGGCGGCAAGGGATTCACCGGCGAGACGACCTGCGTGTCCGGTTACACATGCACAGTCCAGAACGATTACTACAGCCAGTGCGTCCAAGGAAGCGCCGGCGGCGCCGTCAGCGCTCAGGCCCAGGCCACCACCATGAAGACATCGACGAGACGGTCTTGTAAGTCCAAATCGGCTTACGCCAGCGACGTCGCGCCTCATGTGCCCACGACGACTAGCTCGCCTTCTTCGACCTCGGCCCCGGTCGTTGCCGTTTCATCACCCGCGAAGCCCGTTGACACCAAGCCAGCTTCGTTGACGTCTACTCACGCCGCCTCCATCGTTATACCGGCCAAGTCCTCTTCGGCTGCCCCCGTCAAGCCCTCGGCTACTTCAGCCAAGCCTTCTGCCGCTGAGGTGAAGCCTACCACCACGGCTGCCAAGCCCTCGACTACCGCTGCTTCCGTCACCACCAAGGCTACTTCGTCCTCGAAGACTGCCGCCCCTACCTCGGCGTCCGCCCCTGCTGCGTCCGCTTCTTCAACCCCCGTCAAGAGCGGAAAGTTCAAGTGGTTCGGTATCAACCAGTCCGGTGCTGAGTTCGGTACCGGTGCTATTCCCGGTGTCGTTGGCAAGGACTACATCTTTCCCGACACCAACTCCATCACGGTGAGTCAAGAAGAACTGGAGGTAGATTGTGGGTCTGATGAGTGACTTACATGTGATACCTTAGACACTCATGAACGATGGATACACGACCTTCCGGGTCAGCTACCTCATGGAGCGACTCGTTCCCAGCGGTCTCACTGGCTCATTCGACGCAGCCTACCTCGCCGGCCTGACCAAGGCCATTGAGCACATCACCTCCTCCGGCGGCTACGCCGTTCTCGACGCCCACAACTACGGCCGCTTCCAGAACAACATCATCACCGACACCGCCGCCTTCAAGACCTACTTCACCAACCTGGCGACGCAGTTCAAGTCAAACGCCAATGTCGTTTTCGACACCAACAACGAGTATAACTCCATGGACCAGGACCTCGTCTTGAAGCTCAACCAGGCCGCCATTGACGGCATCCGTGCCACTGGCTCCACGAACTGGATCTGGGCCGAGGGTAACTCCTGGACCGGTGCCCACAGCTGGACGAGCGTCAACGACAACATGAAGGGCCTGACGGACCCCCTCGACAAGACCGTCTACGAGATGCACCAGTACCTCGACAGCGACAGCAGCGGTACTTCCGCCGACTGCGTTTCCGCCACCATTGGCGTTGAGCGTGTCAAGGACGCCACCGCGTGGCTCCGCACCAACAAAAAGGTCGGTGTTCTCGGCGAGTTCGCTGGCGGCGCCAACGCTCAGTGCAAGGAGGCCGTCGCCGGTCTGCTCGACTACCTCCAGGAGAACAGCGACGTGTGGCAGGGAGCGGCATTCTGGGCCGCGGGCGCGATGTGGGGCTCGTATATGTTCTCCTTTGAGCCCGAGACGGGCACTGGATACAACTACTACAACGAGTTGTTGAAGACCTACCAGTAGAAGGGGAGGCATAACCGCTATGCCTATGGCCTAAGGAGGCAGCATCAACTCAAAGAGAAGTTGAGTTTAATTTCTTCTGTATAAAGTAAAACGTTTTCAGAACACCCCAGAGCGGATGGCTGGATCTGTGGCTGATGGCTTGAGATGTCGCGATGGCTTCAACCATCCAAGGGTCGGGACACGTCGCGTGACCCGACTACATTATCATAACGCCGAACGATGGAAGACTCTAGCGCAGCCAGATATTTCAATTCTTGTATTTAACAATTCAATCAATACCTGCGCTGACAGGCAAATCATTTCGGTGCCCATTTGACGCCCCTTCTCAATCCTCATGATCGGATGCTCCCGGATGTGGAAGGTGCTCACTCTCCCAGCTACAGTTCAATGCCTCTAAGAAGTCTCCTTCAAGCTTTTCTAAGATCAGCTAAAGTACCAAAGTTCTTCACGATGCAGATGGAATGGTTGATGTAGCGCGGGCTAATGCGCGTAGGAATTGCCCATGCAGGAACAGCAACACCACAGACCAATAACAAAAGTTTGTGCCAGAAACAGGACCAACAAAGTACCTGACTAGAAGACAAGCTTCTAACAAAGTTCCTCAGGCTGGGGGCCGAGGTCGGGTGCATCGTGTCGCCATGGTGCTACGGTCAGATTTGGTGTCACCGCGGGGGCTAAAAACGGGTATGCCCCGGTTTCCGCAGTCGCTAATCGGAGTCGACGTTAGCATTACCTACTTAAAAGCCAATACGAATTGCACAGCTATATGAAATAAATAAAATTTTCTCCGGAAGTAATATACTACTATAGAACTTAAATTTAAGTATAGATTATACTGTTTAAGTTTATTTTGCTATCTAGAAAACCTATTAAAAGATGGTTAAGAAGGGTATTACTTTTATTTTTTACCTTACCTAATAGTATTTTATCTGTTATAGGGTCGCTAAGGTCGGGATATTTTCTCTTAAAGTGGTTAATAAGGGCTTTATATATGCCTTAAGGTTGCTTAATAGGATATCCTATAAAAAAAATTAGAAATCTTTTATACCTAGACGTCTTAAGGTTGCGTCTATAGTAGTGATCGTCGTTATGTTCTATAAAAAAGGTTGCTCTTAAGCAACCCGACTCTCTACGAAACCGAAGGAACCAGGGACAATGATTTCATTGACAGTTGCTTCGTTGCATTACCCCCCTTTCACGCCAATCTACCTCACAGGATGCCTAATGACAGGGACAATGGGAATAACAATGGGTCCGTTTGCAAACAGTATTTCAAGTATTTGGCGCATGTGCTTCTGCCTCTTTCAAGGCCTCCCAGAAGCGATTCAGACCTTCTTGCAAAGCAGCTTTGCCGACTGTGAACGTCAGCCGAAACCACCCATATTCCTCCGCCATATACACATGACCTGGTGCAACCAAAACGCCATGCTTCATGCAAATATCGGCTATTTCTATCTCGCGCTGTTTGCATGTCTTTTCAAAAGTACATTCTACGTCCAAGGAGTCAAGTATGAGTTGATGCTGAGAGTCCTTTGGCGAAGTGATCATGTGCCGAAGGTCTACCCAAATAAAGAGTCCAGCATTTCTTTACACATAATGATCAGTCAAGGGATTCAGAAGTATCTCACCTGCCATACTTACGTGTCGAAATATTGAATTTTATGCTCACGCAAAAATGAGGTTGTGATACGGTGGTTTACAACCATGCGCTCTGCTTTCTCCGCCGTAAACGTGGCGAGCCAGGATTTGTTTTCTAGCATAGCAGCCCACACATCCTGAATGAGGTGCGGTGACCATGAGAAGATGCTTTTATCGCAGTTAGATGACTCGTCTCATCCAGGTCTGGCGGGCATACATACCTAATACTGGATAGCGCTCCCATAACCCCTTCGTTCCTGGTACACACAAGTCCGAGACGTAAGCCGTTGGCGCAGAAGTCCTTGCTAGCGCCGTAGAGGATATGGTGGCTAGTCTCGTCGATAATTCCGCTCAAGTCAAGAGAGAGAGTTGAATGAAAAGGGACAGCGTTGCGAATGGCTTGATTTTGGAAAGTTGACTTGGCATAGATCTCATCAGAGATGAAGTGTAGGTCGTTCTGACCACATGCCGAGGCAAATACTTCCAAGGTCTCGGGTGGCTATTGCAATTAGTTTCTGGGAGAGTATGGACTGAGGAGCACAAACGTAGCATCTTCCTAGAGGGTTATGAGGGCTACGGGCATGTGAGTATTTTCTCGCCCTCCTGCACTCAGAGGAATGTAGGATGAACAACTGACTTGGAAATTAATAGAGCCTTCACTTTGATGCCGTTACTTTTGGCCCTATCGAGCGCCCTGGCTATGGCCCTCCTGTTGACTTCGGGGTCGAATAAATCGTCGAGGGTCGTGTATCCTTCGATTCCAGTGTAGGAAACACCAAGCACCTGAACATTACTACGGTTTAATGCGTCGACCTTGAATCCGTTATACAATGGCTGTGGAATCAATACAGCATCTCCTTCATCGCAGAAAGTCCAAGCCAGTGCATCGATAGCACTAGCCAGGCCTGGGGTGATGAGAATGTTACCAATACCAAGAGGTTTTCGGGGCTTGAATTCGTCTGTTAAGAATTTCGCGGCTGCAAGGCGTAGGCGGTGCGATCCTCGTGGTCCAGTGCTGTAGGTCAAGTGGTTCACTGGAAGAACGGTGATCTACACGTTTCGATCTCAGAGATGAGTCATCTTGGCAAAGTTCAGGCTTTACCTCTTGTTTAATGAAATCCGCGATCTCATTGTGCATCAGACTATTCTCGGCTAGGCGGAGGATGACACTGAAGAGTGTAAGTTTGACGACAGGAATGTGATGAAGGGCTACTTGCGTCCCATTGGGGTTTTCTGGAGTCCACGGGTTGCCCATAGACTTCTCTCGGGGGCCCCAAACATCGCGTAAAAGCAACCCTTCAGCGCCGCGTGCAGAGATGTGATAATCTGCCACCGTCGCCGTTATTTTGTCAAAATCCTCGGTTGAAATCATGGTAAATGGGCTGTTTGGCTAGCCCTCGTTAGTATGCAGTTGCAAGACTGTATGTACTGTCTTACTCGTCTGAAACTATCAAGCCAGATTCTATCCCTAGGCCTAGAAGGGGTCATGCGCCATGTCACTTACGTTAAATTGTCTCTAACATGGAGGGCTCAGACCTGAAATTAACCGAGTCCTAAACGTACTGATCATTCGATGGAAGTGAAGCCGCTGATGCACAAGTGGTTCCGCTTTATGTACCTTATGATCGAGTTGGCCGGCGGCTGCCGAGGCGTAACAAGCCACCATAGTCAAGCCGCCGGCCTATTCAGCGAGCAGATTGGAGACCGGCGAACCAGCAAAAAAAGGCTCCTCGCCGCCGGCACATGGACGATTTCCACGTCATGCTTATCAATCCATCCATGCAAAGTTTACATTTAGGCGCCATATGTCTTCACGTCATTAGAGGGGCAAGTCCGAGGGAGGATGACAAAGCAAACAAGAGGAACAGATGAAAGCTGGAAAGTGAGCGAACGCTCAAGGCAATGCAATTTGTATTGCTCACATTTTGTCGGCTGGATACTTTCAAGAGGTCTAGCACGATATAACTACCCTGCCCCTACACGGAAGTCAAGATCGCATTTTATCCCATTAATATTGAATTTGTTCCCTGCCAACCTTGGTGCAAATCTCACAACATACCAACACGCACCATGCTCACGAAGGAGACGGCTGTCATGCTTGCCAAGTACAATAACTGGGCCGACCAAGTACTTTTCGCAGCGATCCAAAAACAACTGCCGTCTGAGGCGGTCTACCAGCCGCGCACAACTCTCTTCAAGTCCATGATGGGCACACTCAACCACAATCATCAGGTCGACCTGATCTGGCGTGCGCATCTACTCGAAGAGGACCACGGCTTCTCGACCCGCCGCGATCTGTTATACACGAAATTTGAAGAGTTGGTCGAAAAGCAGTTTGAGGTCAACCAATGGTACATCGATTGGGCGAGCAGGCAAGATGAGGAAAGCTTCAGCATACGATCCAAGTTCCATTACGTCAACGGCACACCTGCAGAGATGACTTTGGGTGGCATGTTTCTGCATGTTATCAACCACAAGACCTACCATCGAGGTTGGGTTAGTGAGATGTTCTTCGAACACGGCACGAATCCGCCCGAGACCGATCTCTGTGTTTACTTGTGCCAATAAATCGTCTAGGTGTCCCCGGATCCCCCGCCGCTTCAAACCTGGTGAGCTGGGGTGAGCGTGGGTGAGCGGGGTGAGCGAGTGGGTAAGGAATCGGGTTACGGGAACGAGGTCACTATTATTAAGACTTAGATAATTACAAGCTTTCCGTAACGATTATATGCGCGTATAATAGTTTTCAGTATTATGAAGTACGGCTTTACTAAATGAAGTTAAAGAGCTATATGGGACTTCGGAGGCGTAATCCTCTCGCCTAATAAAGTCCCAATACCGCCTTAATTATGAGATTACTTGCCAGGCAGCAGCTTGGCGGTCAGCGTTGCCTACACAATGTGTTGTTCGTGATGCCTTGGCCTTACCAAGTATTAGAACAGACGAATTAGACAAATCCGACGGTTTTCGCCAGTCGTAATATGACCATGAAGGTCATTAGAATCTTTCCCACGGCAGATGTGGTCAATTTAGGACGTCACAGGATGGACGTACTTGTAGCAGCGACAGCCGTATTAAAAGAGTACTAAGACTGGCTTTATCGCTGTACATCAAGAGCAAGCTAGCTAGTACTAGAGACTTGCCGAAGTGGTCTATGCAAATACACTCAAGCATCGGGCTGCGGATCGTGGAAAGTCTCAATTGGGGTCGGTTCATCAGGGAACGGCGAACAGCCCATCTCGTCGGCGAGCTAGTTACAAGTAATTAGCTTTCCAATAAGTTCAGGTTGCTCGTCATAAACAGCAAAGTGTAGAAAATATCTTACTCTCGTTATAACCATGGTGTCTTTCAAAGTTGACGGAACCCCGGTGGACGATCCGCCGTCCAAGGGCCCGCGATCGGCCCCACAATCGGCACCCTCCACGGCCTGGTCTGGCTCCCCTGGTAAAGCCAACATCCTCACCCGCCAATTCTCCGCTCTGCCCCTCATCGCCCTGCTCTACACCGCCGCCGTGCCATTCACGCCAGTTGTATGGGTCCTCAATATTGATGGAAGCTCCCTCTTCGACCGCCTCTTCGCCGGCATCATTATGCTGTCGGTCTGCTATTTCCAATGGCGCATCGCAGGGCTGACGTCACCTCTCGCCGTCTTCCTTCCTGGTCCTAGCAATACGACTATTCGGAACGGAGGCATCGAGACTGGCTCGAGCATGGGATTTGTGTGGCACCCCAGCAATTACTGGCCGTATGTTATTTGCGAGGCGATGGTCTTGGGCGTTGCCGAGTTTGGGGGGAACGAGTTGGTGAGACGGACTATCGTGTGTGGTATCATTGCTGGGCTGTGGCTGGTTGGGTATCATGCGACTCCCGAATCTACAAGACGATGGGCCTATGAGAATGTCAAGGGCTGGCTGTTTTGGATGGTGTTGGATGAGATGATGCGTGTTGGAGGCAGAAGCTACAGCGGGCGTCGCCGGAGATGAAGTGGATAGCTCTAGGTTGAAAATTTGGCACCTTAAGCATCGAATGCATCAGATTTGTCCTCCATATCATCCCTACCATGCTACTTATCTACGAATATCATGAGAAACACATTCAGTGGACGGCTCAAGGTAAGTTCCCTGAGTTGCATGTACCCAAAAAACATACAGATATAGGGGCTCGCTTTCGGTAGCCGGAATTCAAGCGGATGATTACGTCAGCCAGTTGGGTCGCATCCGTGCCGAAATTGGGGACCCACATGTCGGCCTACCCCACCACCTAAATCCGGTTACCCCAACCGGGCCGTGGTGGTTCCTGGATTTTATCTCGTAAAACCCCCACACCCGTTCATCGATTGCAGTTGCGCAACGATCACAGCCTACAGCTAACAACCTTACGGAGTCATTGAGCTTGATCACTCAAACAACCTCGCCGTCTTAGCTTTGGCGTTCAAAGCTTGCGTCTGAGAAATCATCGTACCAGATCGTGAGGCGCAACCGAGCCTTCCGACAGTCACTCGGAAAGAGCACCATGTGGTGACTGATCAGCGCGTCCAAGTGGACATGGACTCTTTCCTGAAGGAGCAGGTGCCATTGCACAAGACCAACAACGAGATTAAGACTTCTTGGCAAACCACAAGTCACTCTTTCTCTCGTCAAGAGCAGAACGATACATCAATGAAGGTCCGCAATGAGATAACGTTGCGGCGGGGGAGGAGCAATCATGAGGTCAGAGACGCAACGTCGGTACTACCTTACCCCAATGACCGCGTCGCGTCTACTGTTCAACTACTTATCTATCAACAGTCTCTCCCGTCGTCTGCTTTCTTGTCTTGCTTTGCTGGCTTCAGTGAGCTTCTGCTGGTGGCTGGTTCGAACGTCACCTGTCAACTTCCGTTCAATCTTGGGCGACATGCAGTTTCGCGATGGCAACAGTGGCCTCCAGGCCGTCCTGGGCGCCACCCTCGGTGCCTTCATCGCCGGCCCAGTCGTGGCGGCGTCGTCCAGCCTGTACACGCCTTTCGCGCCCATTGATCCCCAGGACTGGGTCAACCCGGACAACATGACTTGGGGTGACTTCATCCCGCCGCCAGGCACGAATTGGTCGGACCCGGCGCGCAAGGGCTCCAGCCGCAACTTCAACATCGCCCTCGTCGTCGTCGACTACCCCGATAGACCATTCGTCATCACTCAGCCGGCGCACTCGACCATCTTCAACAACCCGCAACCCGCAGGTGCCGACATTCCTCGGGAGAACGTGCCGACCTTCTATCGTGACCTCCTCAACACGCCGACTGAGCTGAACAATGGCCACACCCTCCATGAGTACTGGATGGAGGATTCAGTGGGCCGTTTCGGAGTCGATCTGACAGCTTTCGGCGCATACCAACTTTCTGGCAACGGCTACCAATACGGAATCGATGGCGGCTTTAACCCCGGCGCCTGTCCCGAGGGGGAGACTTGTGATCTGAACATCCGCACCGATGCGCTTGCTGCCTGGCGCGCCGAGGTCGGAAATGCCACCGCCGATGCTTTTGAGCTTGTTTTCATCCTCTCTGCCGGCCAAGACGAATCCTCCACATGGCAAGAGTTTGGCGAGATGAAGTTCAACAGCCCTGATGACGTGCCAGATGAATTCGGCCCGCCCAAGGAGGCGAGCAGCTCGCAGACTAACTATGCGCGCACGCGTTACGTTCCCTGGACATCCTGGGCGGCGGCGTCGACGCTCTGGCCCAACGCTGGCGGCGGCTCGTCTACTCAGGGCGAGAGCTCTGGCATGGCAGTCTACGCTCACGAGCTGAGCCACTTGCTCGATATCGGCGACAACTACAACAACCCATACGGTCTTCCTCTGCGCAGAGCATACACTGGGCCGTGGTCCATGATGTCGCGTGGCTCGTTCAACGGTCCCGGTGGTCCCCATACGCGCTGGCAGATCCCGGCGTTGCAGGGTGCGTCAATGGGCTCATTGCACACGCTGCGCGACAAGTTTCAGCTCTGGTTGATTGACAAGACTGACATTTTGTGGCTGTCTCGCGAGGGATTGGCAACATCTGGAGTCGCTGTTGCTAACCTGGTTGCTCGATCTGTCGACCCGGGCGATGGATTGATGGGTGTCCGCATCATCATGGACGGCGACCGATCCCCAGCCTGCAACATCACTACTGAAGTGCTCTGCGACGGCGGTAACTGGGACAACTACGACATTGAAGTCGTGGACCGCATGGGTTCGGACTCTTTCCAGCCCGATTCCGGCGTCCTGCTCAGCAAGTCCAAAAACGTCGATAACCAGCCCTTCCAGTGGGTCATTGACGCGAACCCGGAGGATATTGAGCTCATCGACTTCTACCGACCCAACGGCTCCGTGGCGATGATCACCCTCGGCGACTATCGTCAGCTCGCTGATGCGCTCTTCCACGCAGGCACGAACTCGGGCAGCGAGTTCGAGTTCATTGACGTGCCCAACAGCTTGCACTTCTACATCGTCGACCGTCACCGCGATGACGAGGGCATCCTCTCATACACCGTCGCCATTCGCTCCCTGACAGGTGAAGGCGGCGCGAGCACCCACGACGTCTCGCTGGAGAACGGTGCCGTCACGGGTGCCAAGAACGGCACGGCCATCGGCCAGGGTGTTACATGCTCATTCCAGTTGACCAACAGCGGCACCTACGTCGCGGTCGACCCCGACGCGGCCCAGCACCCCGAGGACGTCACTGCCTTCCTGGGTTCAGACGTCTACAGGCTAAGCGCCGAGGTTGAGGGCACTGGCTGGCGTGTGGAGCTGCCCAACGTTCTCGTCACGGCCAAGTTCGGCGAGATCAAGACGGCGTACGTTTCGGTCGGCGCTGCGTCGGACGCGGCGAGCAAGGCGGTGGTGACGCTGAAGGCGACGTCTGAATCTGATCCGTCTGTTGCGGCGACAGCGCAGTGCCAAGTGACTAAATCATGAGGGGTTTACTTGCGCCAGGGAAAACACATATACCGGCATTCTTACCGTTTCGAACATCGTTAATCGAATACTTGCCTATTACGGCGTTTCTGAAGTTTCTCATGCATGATCGAGGCCCGCCAACGTGGGGTTCTGCCGTGACTCGATGCAATGCAGTCCCGCTGCGGGGCCGCTTAGGGCTAATGAACCCGTTCCCACGCCTGAATCTCCATCAAATCATCACGATCAATAGCCCAGATCGTCTAGTTGGTTAGGATGATACGTTGTGGTTCTTCTATACAGCGATCCGTGTTGACGGCGGTTCGAATCCGCCTCTGGGCATTGAAACCTTTTGGCGTTTGGTGATGTCACTTAAGCTGTAATTTTTGAGGTTTTGCTGAAAGACTGAGCAGTTGGGGAGCCGTGGTCGGAGTTGGCGTAAGACCTCATGTGAAATGGAGCCCTATGTGGCTCAAAAAAGTAAGGTATGTCAACGAAGCAAATGCCGTTGCTATCCGTTCCTTAATTGTCCAATTGAGCGATTGATGAGAAGTTGATTGACAAACCGATCAAGTTTTGATAATGACGGCTGTTCAGGCACGTGTAGGTAGATGTCTTGGATATGCATCTTGAGTTGTCCCCAATTACCCCTCACCCCACGAACACCTGCTTCTCGATATAGCAATACTTTGCACTTCAGTTGCCGCGCGATTGATACGTAGTAAACAAGCTTAGTCTTCCAATGTGCATGACGTGCGCATCCCTCGTATTTGCGCCATCTTTGCGCGTGCGCCCCGGGTCCCGGCGCCGGCAACGGGCCCAAACCAGGACTCTCGAACCCTCCGGACGTCATCGCTAACCCGAGAGTATGTCAAGTCAATCTCATCTACCAAGCAAGCAACTAACTTTTGAATCAAAGCTGGGTCTGAGCCTAACTCACCATGCCGCCCACGAGTAGCTTCAGCGAAATACCCACAATAGACCTCTCCCTCGCCAGAGACCCCACAACAGAGGCCGACTTACTCAACGACCTACGCCATGCTCTCATTAACGTCGGCTTTCTGTACATCATCAACCATGGAGTTCCCGAACACACAATTTCCGATGTGGTCGATGCACTGCCAAAGTTGTTCGCGCTTCCGCCAGAAGCAAAAGCCGAGATCGCGCTGGGCAATTCCCCCCACTTCCTGGGCTACAGCGGTGATGGCGCGGAGACGACGGCGGGGAAGAGCGATCGCAGAGAACAGGTTGAGTTTGCTACAGAATTACCCAGTGGCTTAGAAGAGGGTTTGTCGTTGAGAGAACGACTAAGAGGGCCGAATCAGGTGAGAGTTAATGGCTGTCCTTATGCGTATTTCTTGTGGCTAGTCCTCTGATCAGTTGCAGTGGCCGTCTGCTTACCCAGCGCTGCGTCCTATTGTTGATTCGTACATCTCAGAGATGACCAATCTAGGGAACCGCTTCCTTGTCCTGGTAGCCAAAGCCCTTTCCCTCCCGCCAGAGACCTTCCTCCCCTACCTCTCGGACCAACACCGTCTGAAGCTAGTTCACTACCCCGGCCTTCCAGAAGATGAAGCAGCCATCCAAGGCGTAGGCCCGCACAAGGACTCATCTGGATGGTGGACTTTCCTTCTTCAGGCCTCACCGCCACATATCAAGGGCTTACAAGCCCTCAACAAGACAGGCGAATGGATAAACGTACCAGTGCTACCGGGCTCCTTCGTCGTCAACATCGGCCAGGCATTTGAGGTGGTGACGAACGGCGTATGCAAGGCAACAACGCATCGTGTGCTATCTGGTCATCTTGAGAGGTTCAGCGTGCCGTTTTTTCAAGGCGTGAGGAGGGATCTTACCAAGGAAGAGGCAGTTGGGTCTCTTAGGGAGCATTTTGCCAGGCCTGAGATTCGGGGGTTGGTGGCGGAGTCGGAGGAGGGGAGGGAGATTGACTCGGCATTTTTGAAGGGAAAGTATGATACATGGGGGGAGAGTCAGCTGAGGACGAAAATTAGGAGTCATAGGGACGTTGGGAGGAAGTTTTACGCGGATGTTTTTGAGAAGTATGTTAATGATGATTGATGGCTTTTCCCGTCGTGCACCGACAGCAGTATAGCTTGAGCATGATTCGATATCATCAAATGTCATGGTAGCTGCTCATGGTTTATTGAGCGTGCTCATTTGTCACGGCTAGGGGAAGAAAGGGTGGCTTGCGGAAAGGATATCCCGCATGGAGATCGCATTTTTATAAAATGGCCACGTCACCTGAGACCTGTGTGGCTCCGAACCTTGATTACGTTGGAATCCTCTTGCATATTATCGTCTCGTTCTCGTGATAGGCGACAATGCTGTGTTGTGGACTTATGCTCTTTCAAGAACTTTAGATCCTTCCCGGCAAATTGCTGAGTGCCTTGTCTATTGTGTGGTGTGCTCGGAATATTGGCTGTTATCTCTTAAAATGGCATTTCAAGTCCTTAAGGTACAGTTCCTCTGGTCACGATAGTCTCAGTCAAGGCTTGACTGGTCCGAATTCCACGGGCAACGTTACCTGTAAGAGAAGCTTGACAGCTCCGACTCAAGCTGTCTTGTCAGCATCTATGTGAATCCTGAATCGAATAGAGGTTTGACAATCATGATACAATACATTATAGAAGGATGATGGGTGAAAGAATGAGACTTGTTTGTACGCCCACCTTATTTTTGGTTGTATGATCTTTGATTACAAGCGCCGTACTCGGCGCAGTGTAACAGATGCTGTGATCCGTGGGATTGGGGACTTGGGGTGGCCTTGTGATAGGTGCCACTTGCGCGAGCGCCAATTTGGACTAGTTCATGCTGTTTCCCCCATCTTGCCTGCTAGTTTTCTTTGTCTTTGTAGGGGCCACAGCCTCGTACGGGAATGCCGTACGTAGGTACAAGCTTGAACGTGGCCCAACGTATAATTACGGCTGGAAGGAACATATTAAGGTGGTGTTCCTATCAGCTTACGTTGGTGTAGTAGTTCTATGTCAGTGAAGAATAGATTATGAGTAGCGCCAGCACCATCTGAAGTACCTGGACGGCTTCAACGAAAAATCAATTAGTCATGATTTCCGTCCTCTCGTATTGCGCTTTCCCCATAAGCTCAGGGCTTATAGGAGGATACGTTTGAGGAAACTAAACGTTATAGGTTATTAATATTAGGAGGAATCATTAATTAGCCATATATATATCAGACCGATTCATTGAGAGATTGTTCTAGCATCGATCTCTATTATCTGCTAAGTTGGCTCTCGCTGAGGTACCTGGGAATCGGGATAGTGCCAAGTTGGACTATTCCTTAGGCACCCGCGGGTGAACTTCCACAACACAGACCATGCTGTACAACCGCATGGTCGGGAGATCCAAATTTATGGTCTGATATGGAAGAGCGAAATATCGAGTGTGGGTGAGCTGGGAGACGCCACTGATTCGGAAAGAGGATTGCAACCGGATCACATGTTTCTGTCCCAAAAAGGAAATCAGAAGTACTGCTCAAGGCCATCAATAGGTCCAGAGAGAATTAAGTACTTAAAGACAGCGGCCAAGCGCAACGGGTCTGCAGGGCCTAGACAAGAAAACAATAAGAGAGCTCAATGACCAAACTTCAACCAGATATGAGCGAAGAATGAAAGAGCAAACAGGGAGCTAGAGTTAAAATACATGTAGCAGACGTGAGGTAGAAAAGCTGGCAACAAAGTGAAGCCAGCCTCAAAGTTTGCGAACTCTCAAGATTCGATTCTCGGAAGACCAGAAAGTAGTCGGATGCAACATCAGCATCGGCTCATCTTGGCCTGCGATGCCAACAAACTGGAACTTGGTCTAGGCGTGCTCGAGATTGAGACTGGCGACAGGGATGGCGTCTTGCTCCGTATCCGAGCCTGTGTGCCAAGTGAGGTGATCAGTAACTGGATCGAGATCTTCACCGTAACTCGCTCAAGTGATCCTTTTTGGCAGCTTCAAGGCTGTGTCTGGCGTTAAGTATATATCAGGTGTTGACTAATGTTGAGATGTCTGTGAGACTTTGCAGGTCATGATGTGGCCGTCGACCTGCTTGAAAAACCGGGAAGTAAGATGTCAGCATGCGGCGGATGTGGTATCTGGCACGGAGCTGAAAAGTATAAAAGATCACCCGAATCCCCCCTATCTGTGTTCTTCTAGCTATATCTCTACATCAACTTCATCATTCTCAACCATACAACAATCAACTGACATCAAACACTCAACTAACCATCCTCACAATGAAGACCTATCTCATCTCCTCGTTCTACGCCGCCGTCGCGATCTCTTCGGTAAGCCTGTTTCTCTTCGCAGGATGAGTGACTAAAGTTTAGTTTAGTTCTAACACAACTCCAGGTCATGGCTGTACCATCTGGCCCTGCGGACTCCATCCGGACCCGCGAAATTTTCGCCCCTGAGTGGGAGGTCCAAGTTACTCCCGGCGGTAACAAAGTCATTCTCAATGGAACGGTCCAACAAGTTCACGCGCAGCTGCTTGAGCTCAACCCCAACTGGGACAACGACTTCAAGGACGATCGTACTCAAAAGCGTGAGACACGTGAGAATGAGTGGCAGACTGCTTCCAACGACCTCGACAAGCGTACCGACTTCTCTGGCGCCGGGTACAACTGTGGTGGGCGATGGGGTACTATCAATCAAGGGGCCCTCATAGAAGGCATCAGGTATCTGAGGAGTCGTGTGGGTGCCCCACGCGCAGCTCCTGGGCCCAGAACATGCTACAAAGTCAGCTGCTCCTGGAACACTGCTATCTACTGGTGTAACGATGTGAGTAGCGCTTCTCTGGATCTAAACCCTGAATCAACTTCTCATCCTGAATGTGTAGTCCAAACAGTCTAAAACTCTTGAATCTTCGGGAAGCATCGCCGACGGTGCTCAGTTCGTCTACGACAAATGCAAAACCCGCAAAGAGGGTGGGCAGGTATTCCACAAGACCAACTGGAACGTAATCGTTCAGGCAGATCGCTGCTAGACTTCGAATTTAACAGCCAGAACGATCTGATGTAATTGTCAATAGTCTCAGTGACATCGATAATGACGTTGGAATAGTGGCTGACCCTGCAGCGTTCCGAGGGCGGGGCGGGGCGGGGGGGGGGGCAGAAAGGGTGATGTTTGTTGGGCTTGACTACCAAGTTCTTACTTGATAGTAACTCTCACAATTCTCACAATCTGTAGCGGTCAGTTGTCATAGACTTGGCCGCAATCACATTCCTTACAAAGAGTCCAGAGCCTTGTAGTTATTGCTAGTAACTACCAGCTTACTGACCAAAACCGTGCAGGATGACTCCGTGTAAACAATCTGAACACGTGGTAGAATATCACAAATTCAATTGATATGTGCATTGGACTAGAATAGTCACTTCACTGGTCGGGCCGTGTGTGAGAACAGCTCTTTTGAATCCTGAGGAAGTCAGTTTCGTCTACGATCTCTAGCTGTGGCTCAATCTTAGAGGGGCATAGAAAAGTTTCTGGGATGCTTCTTTCTACCTTGTTCAAGACTTCTTTATCTACCATACCCAATATACCTTCGGTCACAAAGTGCGGGTCCACTCAATATGGACAGAATTGACTACAACCCATATCTTGTAATACCTTCACCTTCAGTCGTAATACTTGGCTTTCACGCCTCTCACAATCTCCTGCTCAGAGACCTCGCTTCTAGCTTGGTTGCGATTGACTCCGGCCCTTACCCGGGCCTTCACCCATTCACCGGCTGTAAGTCCAGTCAAAGCCGCGTTCTCGTTCTCGTTGTAGCCAAGTCTTTTTAGAACCTTGCTCTGGACTGGTCTCAGCTCAAGACTGTCTTCAGGCCGTACGAAGTAAAGTACACCTAGGCGATCAATGCCCGCCTGATCTGGGGGAGGGGCAACGACGCGATGAATGCTGCTCTTCAGGAACCCATTGCTGAGAAACTCCAGCGCATCGGCCACATTTACAGTGATGCTACCGTCATATGGTTTGACCCTGAAATATTGTCAATACCACTATCACAGGAGCCAGCATTGTTGTACTTCTCCACGCACCATTTCCAATTACCATCTATACCTCGCACCTGGAGAGCTGCGACAGGTTGCCTGAAAAGAAGAGTTAAACTTCCGAAGTCAGTGTGACCTTTGACCCAAACGTTATCCAGTCTCTCGTTGGTATGCGCATCTCGCGCGTGGTACTTCATGTATCTTAAGTGACAGTCCGACAAAGCCTCGTCGTAGCGATGTCGGGCGGCGAAATGGTCTTCTGGTAGCTCTAGCACAATAGCAAAAAGTGTAAGGAGCTTTTGCACAATATTGTTATGAATGTGACGTGCGAAATGCTCAATGCCTGCTCTGTTTTCGTTGATTACCTCGGGCTGTGGACGCTCGTAGGCAGGAATGAATTTTGGGATGTTGAAGATCTCAGTGTTGTCAAAAACGCCAGGACGGATTTCCTGGGTAGATAAATTGAGCATGTCTCACACAATGATGTTAGAAATACTCACCCTCAAGCCAAAAGGTTTGTAGCCATTGTAGCCACCGTTTTCCAGGTCGGCACGGTACTTGAGCTTTTCATCGGTGGGCAGCTCGAAGACAGACTTCCCAATCGCGAATTGACGGTCTACATCTTCTTGACTCAAGCCGAAGTTGACAATATAGAAGAAACCAATGTTCTGAATGGCATCAAATAGCTGTTTCGCGAGTGCTTCTTTACCCCCTGGCTGGTCAAACTTAGAAAGATCAAGTGTAACCAAATCTGCCCACTCAACTGCGGATGTGATACCCAATAAGCTTCAACTACATGTAAAACATTAACAACTTGTATGCTCACGTTCGTATTTGGTCTCTGGAACTTGCTCGTATACGGGAAGATTCTTATGCTCATGATTGTGGGGCACTAGAATTGTTTGCACAGTCGTAGCCATTGCTGAAGTTGGACCTGGAGGGACCTACTGGCGTTGATGCTGACGGTCTACCACCTGGACTCTTACAAGTCCGCAACTCCACATCTTGGTGGGACATTTACCATCTTATGCGTTGTCAACGACTCGTCTCCGCACTCGGCATCTCTGATGGAGTTGGTGTGACATGGCTGCATCTCGCCATCGCGGGGTATGATTGCGAATGCAGGGGTCTTCGACGGACTTCGTCCGCTCCGAGAATACATATCGCTCATCAGAGGAAAGCCATAATCCTATGGCAAGGGCCGTAGTCCTAGCAACTCTTTTAACCCCCACGAAAGGATTCACGGCAAGACAAGCAATGGTAAAGACATGGATTTATCACAGAAGCCTCTTCTGGGGGCCTCAAATGCCGTTGCCAGACTTGGCTTGGCACCCTGGATATAATCCATGTCCAACCAATAATGGCATATTATGCCCCCGTTATCTTCATTGTTCGCGATTCTTAAGAGAATGACATGATCAGGAGATGTATGGACGTTTGGCTTATTTCCGTCAGACCTAGTAGTTTTGACAAACAGTGAATCAATCTTGACCCCACCCTCAAAAGTCCAATGCCTCACACTTACTTCAATGCCTCTGCGTCTTTAGAGTGTAATTTCTGTTGAACTTTCAAGAGATCGTGCAGTTTCCTGTCATCTTACAATGGCCGACACGAAGGACGTTTCAACTAGGACGAGAAACCTGCCTGAGGGCGATGGAGCCGTCAAAGACGGCCTGACGTTTGCTCGGCGCGGCGAGCAGATCGACGAAACAACGAGCGGAGATGTTTCTGGCTTTGATGCCGAGAGAATGAGAGCTAGGTCTCTACTCACAGCCGATGAAGAGAAAAAGCTCATGCGACGTGTCGATCTGAGGATCATGACAATTTGCTCCTTACTTTTTCTGATGAAGAATATCGACTCCGACAATATTTCAAATGCAAGAATCATGAATAAGGGAACACCAAGAAACATCATGACGCAGCTGAATATGACTTCTGATGAATACAACCTCTTGACGGTCTTATACTATGTAATAGCCGCTCATAATCTACAAACTCTCCAGCTAACTGGCCCAGGTGCCCTACATTGTCCTAGAAGCGCCGTCGAATCTTTTGCTAAAGCGACTCAGACCGAGTGCTTGGCAATCGAGGATCATGATTTCTTGGGGTATTGCGCTTCTCTGTCACGTTCCCGTCACAAACAAAGGCGGCATCTATGCGACTAGATTTATCCTCGGTGCAGTAAGTCGTTTTGATGGATCTAATTTAGGTGAAAGGATATTCTAAAGTTGGGTAGTTCGAAGCAGGCATGTTTCCAGGTGTAATCCTCCAGATGACGTACTGGTAAGATTGCTCAAGCATCTACGCCAATCGACCGTTTGAATGACATTTTAATAGGTACAGACCGGATGAAATGTCGATTCGGCTGCTTTACTTCTGTGAGTACCTCCCTAGCCCCGTGTAGTTGCTAAGCAAGGTCTGACAAGTGTGGCAGATGTACTCGGGAATCTCTCTGGGATATTCAGTGGTATTCTCGCATTTGCATTCGATACAGTTTCTGGATCAAGAGGATTGTCAGGCTGGCAGTGGTAAGTCATGACGGAGTCTTTCGAGCTCTTTTGCTTGATGAATGCTGACGACGGAATCACATAGGCTATTCCTTGTGGAAGGGCTCGTAACCCTCGTTCTAGGCACAGCGGTCTATTTTCTACTGCCCGATTGTACGGTTGAATCCCTCTGAACTAGGTTCCAGATGTCTGTAATTCTAACGCTCCCTTTTTTTAGTCCCCCCCACGGCGAAGTGGTTGACCGAGAAGGAGAAGGCTTTCATCCAAGCTCGCCTTCCGCCCAATGCCCCGAGAGCTGAGGAGATGAACTTCAACTTTAGTGAAATTGTGGACTCGCTGAAAGATCGACGTTTGTGGCTCTTCACTCTCATCTGGGCTACCTTCACTGTCGGTACATCTGGTGTCCGTTTCTATCAACCAACGGTCATCGCCAATCTCGGATTTACAACGATAGCCCGAGCTCAGCTACTCAATCTGCCGATCTCGCTCTTGTCCATCTTTGTCATCGGAGTAACGGGCTTTTTCGCCGACAAGGGAACAATACCGCGACCCCTCTACCCCTTAGGTGTCTTTGCTGTCGTAATTGCGTGTTACGGAGTGTTGGTCGCCTACCCCTCCAACGGTGCTGTCTATGCAGCAACGCTCGTCGGCAACGCTTTTACGTCTGCCTTCTTTCCTCTCATGTGGCCTTGGCGCGTGCAGACAACCTCGCGAGCTACAGGTTCAGCCTTCAGCATTGGCTTTGTCAACAGCTACGGTCAAATTGGAGGTGCTATCGGTCCTCAGATCTTTAGATCCAAGTACGCACCGCGTTACCAGACAAGCTTTGCGGCAGCCATGGCTTTAGTTGTATGCTGTGCCATTGTCACGCTGATTACATGGTGGGTTACGAGGAAGACTGAGTCCGATACCCGTCGTCTGAAAAGAGCTAGAGTTCGTGCTCAGAGGGACGGCCTGGCTGTGTTGGATGATGTCGTTGACCAAGATCTGAACAAAAAGCGATCCTCCGACGAAGAAAGCGCCTAGTTTAGGGACTTTACTGTTGAAACATCTAAAGTTGTGGGGAGATGGCTTTCGCGATTCTTTTGTAGTAATGATAGCATTGCAGTAACCAGGACACTCACTCCTTTGACAGCCGTAGTTCGCCTTCTTCAATGCTGCCGCCACCGATCATCGAGTTAACGTTGCGCCTCCGCGTCTTTCACCTGCTCCAATTGTGTACATTTGCGATTACATGACTACTCATACACATTGAAATCCCACTTAAGCTTTCTGGACCTCCCGTGATGAAGTCGGCCATTCGGAAACGTTTGTTTTCTGCCAGCTCTATCGTACCATGCAGCATCGTCATACTGGAGACTGGTTCAATATGGACGATGTTGACTCAAGAGACAAGTGCCGAGCCTTTGGTGCGCTAGCCCTCTTAGGGGACGGGATCATTTCGGTGGTTGACCCAGACCGTTCATCGGACCGAGATCTGCGTGACATAGTTTTGATCTTCGAAGAGGTGCATCTCCAGAGTTGGCTTGCGCTGGGCATACAAGCGACGAAGACACCGACATCGAGTTCTGCAAGTGACCAGACGTAAACCCACAAAGCCTCAGCTGAAATTCGATTATTACATTAGACTAGGCCTGTCTGAGGGAGAAAAGATTGGAAAGAAAGAAACTTACAAGTGATGTTGTTGGCTGTCGCAAAGTGAACCAAAACTTGAATCCTCAAAGCACTGACAGCAGTGAGGCTAATGCATCAACTTATTAGCAGTCTGCAAGCCATATTTATACGAGAAAACTTACAATAAACCGACAGAGAACATCATGATTACTCCTATCTTCTTCTTCAACCCGAGGTTCAGTTTGTAAAGCTGCGTGAGTGGTAGGATCAACATCCAAATATCCAAGAGAATGTTGAAGCCAACGTGGGTTAGAACGAGCTTGTTGAAGTCCATACACACGCCTGCTTGTTCTCCGTCCCATCCAAGCCAGTATTTGTTAAGCGGACGACATTGAGTGAACGTCAAAATGAGATACAAGAATAACAACAAGGCATTGAAGCCCTGCGTGGCCCATAAGACTCGGCGGAAGCAGGGAGATGGAAAGATACGAAGGTAGAAGAACAAGATGGATGCCTTGATTGTACTCAAACCAGTGATGTAGAATATCTGGGTGTTGAAAAGAATCTGACCAATAGTCAGCTTAAGGGACTCGTTCTACAGACATCGCCTGGCTACCGAAGATTCGATGGTTGTCTCTTGTGCCGCGTGCGAAATGTTGCTCAAATCTTACCTTGAGAAACTCAGTGATTTTGTAAGGTTGGAGAGTCCAGATGTCCCTTCCAAGGCCAATGGCTAGTACTGCAACCAGTGTGAGCCGATTTAAGTTTGGAGGCATTTATGTGTACTCACGTCGGTATACAATAGGTACCAAAGCCGTCGCGCATGCCTGGTTGAAGATCAGAATCTACATAACATTTGAAAGCTCAGAGTCGGACTGACGAAACCAACGAAGACGCAAATATCATCAGCGCCCCAAGGCGATGGATTAACAAACTTGTTCACAATCCGTATGCACATGAAGATGACTGGTAGAATGAACAGAGTGCCTGTGAGAAATCGGGGTATGGCTGTGTTGTCGGTCACTGGAAAGCCGCAGTTTGCCCAGGTCATATTTGCTACGACTTTAGCACTGTTAGAACCCGATGATACTTGTAAAGCAGTCTGATTTCCTACTCACTGAGACCTTCTTTGACTGTGCATCCACTCTTAACACAGGCCCCGACATCGTCGCTGAAGACCGGATCCGCGCAAAGACATGTTTGGTTCAGCCCGGTGCATGGTGAATGAGGAAGTGCATCAACTATGCAGGTGAGCTACATCTGTTAGTTCCGGCCATGATTCTGAGGGGATCTGAAAGTTCATACTGCGCAAGGAGGATAATCGGAGATGCTAGGAATGGCACCAGCTGCGATTGTGATGCTGCATAACAGGACAGCGAATAGGTTTAGCGTCCTCATCTTTGCTCAAAATATAATGATAAATGAACCATTAAGCACCCAACGGCCGCTGAAGCTTATCCGAGAGAAAGAAGGTTTGGAATATAAGAAGCCACAAATTGTGGAAGAATGGGAATCTTAGGGGAGATTCGCGTGGCGATGTTCAGGCCCTGCTTTCTTTCATCCAAGCAATGACGAGATTGGTTTCATCACATTACACACAGTGGCTCAGGTGTGAAAGAAATTAATGGGCACTAGATCGTACCGGGCTTGTGGAATGCGGGCGGTCGCTCTATGTTTCCAATGGCTCGGCTTGCTTGCGAACGGAAAGATATGCAGACGGCTTCTCTGAGGCAAGGCCATGTGGCTGTGATCGACCACAGCTGAAAATCTGGACGCGCTTGGAAAAGACCGTTGGACCTGGATCTCTGTTCATATGTCTTTTGTTGAGGCGGCGTATCATCCGCCTTGGCTTGGTGGCGTTCCTGGTCTATGCCCAATGCAGGTCCGGGATGTTGATGCCAAATTCCGACAGGAACTACCACAGATGGCCATCGAACCTATCATCAACCAGTAGCATACCAATCTTCTGCTTCATTACATAGTTATTCACATCACCAGCACAAGTATTGAAGGGTTCAATAGAAACTATTTGATCGTGTATTCGTGTGACCTAGGTCTCCTTCAGTATGTCGGCAGCCTTCTCAGCTACGGCATACATAGTTGCCTGCAGATGGCAGGCTGGAATCAACGGAATGATACTGGCATCAATCACTCTCAGCCCCTGGACGCCGTAGACACGAAGTTGGGGGTCCACAACGCCACCATGCTCCAATGGTTGCAAACTCGCTGTTCCACTGGGGTGCGCAAAGCTGGCAAAAAGTGAGTTCCTAACAGCTTCGGCGATGGCCTCATCAGATGTAACGTTGCTACCAGGAGAGATCTCAACAGCCTCCCTAATCGCCAAAGTTGGAGTATCCCAGACCTTGCGGAAATCCTTGACACTGAGAACCGCGATATCGAGATCAATGGGGTTTTGGAGTGTGCCAAAGTCAATGATGGGCGGGTTGGCAGGGTCAGGGTTGGTTGAGCTGATCTTGATGGTTCCACGAGACAGAGGCTTCTGGAAAGCAATGGCACCACCAGAGAAGCCCCCAAAAGGGATTTCCAATACGCCTGCCTCTGGGTTCCGGAAAAGCTTGGCGAGAGCCTCACGCTGAGCGAGGAAGCCCTCAAGAAGCTCGGGATGCTCTGAGTAGATCTCCGGAAGGAAATCAAGCGCGTTTTGAGCTTCGACAGACGCGGACAGGACCTCGTATTCTGGTGTAAGATCTTGGAGAGATCTGAAGATGATGTTGTTTCCACGAGCGTGAGTGAATGGCCCAGTTCGATTGGCAAAGTATTCAGCCTCAGATGCGTTGAAGAATGCCGGATCGTTCATGGCCTCGCTCCCGAGCTCGGGAGGGTTACCGTACGTGTACAACATCAACATCCATGCGTGGTCCTGGTAGTTGCTACCAACACCAGGGACATTGGCGACTACATCGACATTGAGAGACTCCAGCATCCCAGCGGGACCGATGCCGCTTTGGAGCAGAATTCTTGGCGTCTGAACGCCGCCGGCAGCAAGTATGACCTCCTTCTTCGCCTTCACAAATGTGGTGGCGTTAGTTTCGCGTGATATCACGTTGACACCGACAGCTTTCTTGTCCTCGAACTCGATCTTCGAAGCATAGTGCTTAACAAGGAGGTTGAGGTTCTTGCGAGTTTCGGCGATAGGCTCATAGTATGCTGTTCGTGAGGTCGACCGAGTAACGTTCATTGGGTCGTGATTTTGAGGGAGTTGAGCAAGGCCAACGTTGTTCCCACCAGCACCATGGTCATCGAGTACAGGCACACCAATGTCCTCAATCCATGCCTTTCTTTGAAGATCTGTAAAACTGTCATTTAGTCATGGACTCATGAATTGAAGTCTTAATAATATTAAAAGGGCCCCAAAATTGTACGTACCTCTGTCGGGCCATTGCCATGAGGGGAAGCCGGCCTGGAGAGGACCATCGCCATAGGTGCTGGGGTCGTAACTGAAGTTGTACTTCTCGACGTATTCGGGCGCGGGAAGAGTGAATGTAGATGACTGGGCAATGAAGGTTAGCACAACTAGTTCAGCATTCTTTTCGCCATCGATCTTGCACACCTTCTTGAAATAGTGGAAGAGGCTTTCCCAGTTCCACCCCGGGTTTCCTAGCTCCTCCCATGCATCGTAGTCGGCTTTCGAGCCGCGATCAAAGGCCATGCCATTGACGGTGGACCCGCCTCCAACTACTGTTCCAGTCTGAACGCCGGAGGTTCTGTTATTCAAGCCGGATTGTGGGATAGACAAGAATTGAATCAAATCGTTGGGGTGTAGATTAGAAGCGTAGTAGGGGATAGCTACGTCCCAAGAGACATCAAAATCTCCGTATTCGACAACCAAGACGGTTACTGTTAGAAATTAGGATCAGCAATGAATCAGCACGCTCTTCTAATAGCGTACCATGCACTTACCCTCTGGGTCTTCGGTAAGTCTGTTGGCAACAACCAGGCCACTCAAGCCTCCGCCTACAATCACGTAGTCGTAAGAGTCAAGGAGATCCGTCGTATTTCTTCTGGCAAACTTGGCAGTCGCTGGCGCGGCAATTGCAAGCTGAGTTTGGCTTGAGACAAGCACGATCAAAGCCGCAGCTTTCAGACTACGAATGATGGCCATTTTTGGAAAGTCCAAAGAGTCGACAGGCTGAATAACAGGATGTTCAGCAATCGAAAGAAACTCCTTCTCGAGACCAGAGGGTCCTGTCACAACTTTTTAAAGGCTCGGAACCAGCGGACTGCGGTCAACTCACCCCAGTTCATCGCTTTCGGGCTACTGCACAAACATCGCCTAGTCCAATTCATCGCATGTTGTTCAACGGTGCGCTTCTACGCAAGAACCCCGCCGAGCTCAACACACCTTGTCGTTGACGGGCCATCAGTAAGGATTATTAGAGTGCAAAGTGCTAAGAGCCGGGGAGCGGCAGATGTGGCAAAGCAATCCGATGCAATGGGTTCCTGTCCCGCAGTCCTGTGCGTTCCAATAGGGCAGCTCGCAAAAGGAATATCACGGCCCCAGCGCGACACCCTGGACGACACATGGGCTAAAATCGACAGACGCTGGGCCCGGCCGGCCGATGGGACGGCCCATGTTCTCCAAGTAGCCACACCATCCAGCCGATGTCACGCTGTCGACCATTCTTCTCGAAGCTGTAAGCACTAAGGATATTAACTTGTCTGTCTTTGATTTTGCCATCTAAGACGTCGGTGTTTGACCATCATCCCCAGTTGAAATGGCCAAAGAGGCCAAGGCGGCGGTGGGGTACCGATTGTCGTATACGAAATAAGTGCTGCGAGCTCCCAGTGCTGTAAATGTGTCTATTGAACTGAATGCAAAGCAAGGGCGTCTCCACCCTCACTGCGTTGCGTAAGTGCTACTTGCCCCGGACTTGCGCTGTTTTCAATGAATACTTGGGGTGTCCGGAAGCCTGAATCTCAGAGATCTTGAATCCACCGGGGCATTTTTTCTGAAAAACGCCCTCGGTATCGTACTTAAGAGCCGCGGCTTAGATCTTGATAATATTGTTCTCCCCATAGGCCCGCAGCGGGTTTTGTGACTTGTCCGCATAGTTGAGGTATAGCCAACCCTCTAAGAAGCCCCCGTCCTTGGCGATTGAGTATTCATCAGGATAGATAAGTCGCGATCCTAGCCTAGCTTCACCTAGCTTCTTGCACCACAGAATCTGTTAGCAATATGGTGATATCTTAGGGTAGAAATTCCACCACTTGGTTTTCTTGTGAGATCTTTGAAGGTCTGACGGCTCAAGTGATTGGGGATGTTTGTTTGTCCTACTAGAAGGACAATTTTCTTTCAACATACCGCGTATTCAGGTCCTTGTGTGTCCCTCTCGAAGGCCCAATCTACTCTATTACAAGGCTTTGGTCAAGAGGCTGTGACAATGGCACATATAATGCGATCGATGCTTACTTTGGTATGAGTTGGAGGAAAGGATAGCCTCAAGAGGTAGAATTACTGGAATTTATATCATAATTCTATGCTACTCAATGGCGTAGAGAAGAGTCTTCAGCCAACGTAAAGCCGCTGTTCAAGCCCAATCCAGCATCTTCTGCCTGTTCTAGTTAGGTAATATCTGATAGCTGTTGAAGTGCCTGTTTCAAGCTTGTTCACCTATTTCTGAGGAGGAACATGAGTTCATTTCCAGGCAAACTGGCCAGGCTTCCTTTCTTCGCTGGGTGATGATGGAGGTGATGGCTGCATGTGTGCTTGACGGGTAAGTCCTATGTTCACCAGTGGCGTCAACACAAAGACATGCCGATGAGATCGCAGTCCATCGTCACTGTTGTCAAAGGCTCGCAGTCTAGGGTAAGGTAAATACCTACACGTAGGTAAGCTATCAAACATGCATGCTGTTTCTGCTTGACGCGGTAACCCGGTCTCACCGGACCCCACGTGCGGTTTTCGTGGCTTGCTTGCATCCTATCACGGTGCTCCAATTGACCTCAATCTAAGAGCCACTCCTGCCTATGATTGCCTTCCAGTCGGATTCATCGCTGCAGGTGGGTTATGCGGGTAGTCAATTGATCGTGTGGTACGTATGAGGCGACCTGCATTAATCACCAGGATATTGAAGACAGTGGTGCATCTCTGAAGCCAACACGGACTTGGAACAACAGAGCGGACATGTGGCTGAAGAGCAACGAACGTCTATGTAAGATGCGAAGGTGACAAATTATTGGGGCTTGTTCGACCAATCTCCGACAAGAATCGCGCGTTTTTTGTCCCTTTCATCGCTGCCTACACCCGAATGGCTTGGGGGTTTTCAGCAAACACCAGGAATATCAACTTTGCCGCTCTCACTGCCCAGATCTTGGCACATCCCCGATGTCATTTATCTCGTAGTCCGAAGTGGTATGGGTGAGAATGAGATGTGTTGGATTCAGTCAAGATCTCAATATTATATAACTTGATCGCCACGCCAGCTACACTTCAAAGCTTGTACGACCATGAATCGAAAGAACACTGTCGGAGTGACTAATTCTTATAGGGAAGAGGGTCTAAAGAGAACATGAACAGGTCATAGGGCTGAAATTAGTGCAAAATCTAGACCAGACACCGCTCTTTCCCCCGATATGTCGTTAACGCAATTTGAGTACCAAAGCAGAAACAATATGTATTCAATTGCGATGATGACGACGAGGGACACGCGTTGAGCAAGCCACGTGCAAACATATATTCACTCTCATTGCCTTGAAATCGCACCATCTAATAGCGGTATCTAGTACGTAAGGTCCGCCAGTGCGCAAGAATTGAAGGCCACCTCAGCGGCGCCGGGAAGATAGGCCGGCCATGACGGCGGAGTTTGAACCGCTGCGGAATTGCGGAACCCCGCCAGCCTGGAGCGTGGAGCGTAACGCATCCTTCCGCAGTGGCCTCTCACCAACTCCATTCTACTATTGGCGGGGGTTTTGGGAAACGTCCCAAAACGGATGAAGTGGCTTGCTGTGCCGTTTGCTTTGAAGTAAATCCTTAACTTATTCCGTTTTGTCCGTATGAGGCACCATTGCGACCGGAGATGAAGTCGATAAGACACGTTCGTCGGGTTTTCGAGCGGAGATGTTCGCGAAATGTCTCATGAAGTCGACGGACTTTGGTATTTGCAGTTTGTCAAGTATAAAAAGCTCTTCGGAGCACTGGAGGCTCCAGTCCGACATTGGAACATAAGCCATTCACATTTCAACACAATCGTCCACAGTCTATCTACAGCCCGAAGCACTTTTCTACCCAAATTCACAGTCATCAAGATGGTCAGAGTTGCTATTGCTGGTGCTTCTGGAAGTGAGTTAAAAGATCATATCCAGCGTTGGGGCTCACCAAATTGCTCGCTAGACACAGAGCTCGCATCTCTGTGTATGAGTTTTAGTGTAGGTGCCATGGCTGACAAGTGATGCGTCTCAGAGCTCGCCCTCGAGGTCATTGACAAATTGGCTGCCACCGGAAAACATGAAGTCCTTGGATTGGTCCGCAAGGTAAGCTATCGATCTCCCCGGAAGAAATTGCAATCGGTCCATGTTTTAGTCTGGCAGGGTGTATACAAGTTTCGAATTCTGTTGTTCTGATCACAGCTTCAGAACCCTTCATCTCTACCCCAGTTCCATGGCGTGAAGTACATCCAGACTTCCTACCAAGATGAGAAGGAGCTGGTAGAGATTCTCACCGGCGTTGAGACTGTTCTCTCTTTCATTGTGGCTCACACCGACCCGAACGCGGAGACAGCCAAGCGTCTTATTGATGCATCAATCAAGGCTGGAGTGAAGCGCTTTGCTCCAAGTGAGTGGGCGACGTGAGTATTTCTGCTTCTTATCCGCCCTGTCATCAACGTTTCGACCCGTCGCTAATGGTCCGGCTTTAAGGAACAATAACCTATCAGATGTGATTGAGTATACCTCTTGGTACGCCAACAAGCTGGAAGTCAAGAAGTACTTGGAAGACGTCAACAAGAGCAAGAAGGTTGGTAAACTTCGAGCGGTCGAAACATCTGGGGTCTCACAATCTAAACAAATCTTAGGTGATTGAGTACAGTCTGTTCCAGCCTGGCGCCTTCATGAACTACTTGGGGTATCCTCATCAGACCACCAAGCACTACCAGATCGATTATGCTACCTTCATTGACTTCGAGAAGGCCACGGCCTTTATTCTTGAGGGATCTGAGAATGCTGAAATGTCAATCACTACCATTGAAGACATCGCGGAGGTGGCTACACGAGCCGTCGATTACGAGGGCGAATGGCCTGTTGTGGGCGGTATCACCGGAGATAGAGTCACTATCGGAGAACTCATTAAGTTGGGTGAAAAGTGCAGAGGTTCGTCGATGACCTAATTTTACTTAATCTCTAGCTATCTTCTTCGCATTACTGACATAACATTTCAGGAAAACCATTCGAGATCGACAGATTGAAGCTTGAGGATCTCAAGGAAGGCATTGTCAAGACGAACTACTTCCCCGCCATTGACTTTCCTGGTGTTCCAGTTGAGCAGCGAGAACATTTCAGAAATGTCGTCGTCATTGGAGCGACAATTTCGACTGCTCAAGGCACCTGGGCAACTTCTGATGAGTGGAACAAGTTGCTTCCTGAATTCAAGCCAACCACCATTGAAGAGTACCTACAGAAGACTTGGGGCGGTCAGTGATTTTCTGGTTTTGTAGGCTGTCTTTATTACGACAACTTGGCCAGACCTTGATGGTTCGAACGATCTGGGCTACCTAGGTCATATCAATGTTCGACATGTTGCCTATCGATTTCAGGTCAAACGATCAGTCAAAGATTGATTGATTCAGTTGCGCCTTTACGTAGAAAATTTCAATCAATTTTGAAATACTGCTCTACAACAGTCCAAGATAGCCGATGCCGAAAGGAGGCTTCGTGAAAGTGCGGCATTCTTTTCCTCTCTAACACCCACGTATGGAAGACGTATAACTGTTTTGTAGATAATTGTTGTTTCTGTTTTTGATGTCTAGACCAATGTTTGACCAGAATTATTCTCTTTCAATCAATCAACCCCCAATATTGAGCGGACTAAGAGGGTCAAACTCGTGTGTAGCGATCAACTCGGGATAGAAGATTCCGGCATCCTTTAACACCTTATCCATAGTTTCCATGATTAGTATACTCTCGGACCACGGCATAATATCACTTTCCAATTGCCCGTCCCTTATACAACGTGCAGCCTCGTCTGCCTCCCAAAATGTACCATTTCCCCAATTCCTCTCGCTGTCTTGCGGCTGAGGGCATTTGACAACCTTTTCGACAGCTCCTTCTTCCGACGTAGAATTATCTTGAAGGATTGAGGCTTATACGCTGGATGGTCCACTTGTATCTCGCCATACGAGCCCTGGATTCGTATCGCTGGTGTGTTGGAATTGCCAGGATCTGTCGCAACCCGAAGCGATGATGTGGCTATGCCCATTGTGCCATGCTTTGGAAAGTTGAGGATAATTGTGGTCGACTCATCAACTCCCGTGGAATATTTTTGAACAGCAGATAGTACCTGTGGTTGTTCTTTCTTGTCCTCCGGTTGAAGATGAAAGAGAATTTGGAAAACCCAGGTCAGCGGGTAGATGCCAAGTCCCAGCAGGACGCCGCCAGCCAAGTCAGGGTTGACCATACGATGCGAATCTTCATAATCGAGTCTCTTGCTTCCGATATCTCCACTACTGTTCGCGCGAGACAAGTCCGCAGTAACACGGTAAACCTGGCCGATAGTTCCGCAGCTGACGAGCCGTCGTATCTTCATGCTTAGCGGGAAGAATCTCGTCCACACACCCTCCAAAAAGAAGAGCTTTTTCCCTCTCGCAGTTTCATACAGTCGTCGGGTCTGGGCAGCAGTTACAGTAAGGGCCTTCTCGCAAAGAACGCTCTTTCCTGCCTGAAGAGCTAGCATCGCGTTCTGGAAATGGTGACTATGTGGGGTGGCGATGTAAATGATGTCAACACTTTGATCCTGTACAAGTGCTGCATAGGATCCATATGTAGAAACCCCAGCAGTCAAAGGGTGGCCGATGCGGGCGAGGAATTCGACAGCTTTGAGGTGGTCTTTAGAGGACGAGACTGCTGTGATGGCATGTTGAACGTCAGTCACGCCGCGGGTATCTGGGTTTGTCAAGAGGTCTTTGCAGAAATCTGTAGTGTGTAAGTAACCTCGTTTCCCGCGAGAAGAGGAGACTGGTTCATCTCGTCAAGGGATCGGTTAGAGTTGACGTACACTCAGACATGGCGCCGGTGGCCATTATTCCCCATCTTAACAGAAACGGTTCCTGTGCCATCTCAATGTCTACCGATAAACCCAAATTCGAACACCGATCAGCATGAATATCAGTTCTTTCTTCCCCAGTATCCGAGGGACGATGTCGATTTCCACCACAGTCGTAGGTAGTATGAAGGGAAAAGATTGCCTTAAGGGGACCACCCAGGAGATGATCGACGTCCAGGTGATAAAAAGTTGATGTCGTGTGCTCGGGGCTTCGGGTTAATGAGTGCCGATGTAGTCCTGATTGCGAGGCCTCAGTGCGATCACGGTTTGTGAAATCCTGCGAGATCGGAGAACGGAATTACAATTGATTGATTTTGTATGCCCAGTTAAGAATTAAAATTCGGATTCCATTATGTAGTAGCCTAAGTTGCCAATCCATTTCATCAATCATCATAAATAGTCGCACTATTTTGTTCATCCCCCTCAACTGTAGCTCCCGCCATGGCTTGCCTGCACTAGAAGTATAGGCTTCCAGCGTTGTTCAAGATCCAGTCAGAGCTCGTCTTTCTAAAGTCGTCTTTCAGAGTGCTAGCCTTGTCCGCGAAGAACTGCATCAAGTTCTGGCCCTGCGACCACTGGGGCCAGGCCGGGTACGCTCCGTTGAGGCCGATGTTGGGGTCCGAGGCATAGACAAAGTTGGTGTAGTAGGTACGGATGCTTCGCGCAGCGTAGTTATCCTTGATGCCGTAGAAGACCTGCAGCAAGTCGGATCCGTGGAAAGTACCCAGAATCGGGGTTCCGTAGTCGTACGACGAGAGGTAGGACCAAGAGGGCACGGTTGGCTGCACGGAGGTAGCAAGGTTGAGGAAGACGCGGCGGGTCAGGGTGAAGACCAAGTCACCGAGAATGGCAGATCGACGCTTGAAGCCGGGGAAGATCTCATTCAAGAGACCAGTGCGGTGCGGGCTACCGTTGATGACAGCAGTCACGCCGTCATCATAGGTGGCGACGTAGGCAGTGATCTGGGCTGTCGTAGCTGTTGCGAAGTAGTAGTTCTTGAGGTAGGTGACCAGCTTGTCGGTGGTGGTCAGGTTGGGCTGGAAGATGCCGAAGAGAGTGCCTTCATCCTCTTGATCTCCAATGATCATGGGCACGGCTGCGTACTGGCCGTTCTTGGCCAGCACGTCGGGGCTCGCGGTGAGAGTCTTGCCATCCGGACGGGGCAGGTAGGACAGGGCGAGAGAGTTGTAGGAGAGAATTCCAGGGACAGACGTGACTGCGTTGAGGAACGTGGTGTAGTCGACCTCGCGTAGGCAGGCGAGTGTGTCGGCCTTACCAGCGCATCCTGCCTGTGAGACAACTTTGTCGTACACGGCCTGTCCCTTTGGGCAATCAACGGGGTCGGTAGGGACGATGCTGCCGGAGTTCATGATGGCACCGCGGAAAAGCGCCTTGCCGTTGTACTTGTTGTTTCCGTTGTAGAGAGCCATTTGGTCGAAGACGGAGATTGCACCCGCAGACTCGCCCCAGATGGTGACCTTGTCCGGATCACCACCGAAAGCCGCGATGTTGTCCGCAACCCACTCGAGACCCATTCTCTGATCAAGGAGACCGAGGTTTGCCGAACCGTCGGCAAGGATCTCTTTGCCGGGCATGAAACCAAAGCCAGCAACACGGTAGTTGACAGCGACGAAAACGAAGGGCTTGCTAATGTCGACACCGTGCTGGACGAGGCCAGTTCCGTCGTACATGGAGGACCATCCGAGCTGTTCAAATCCTTGTCAGTACATTGGACGGATGGGTCAAAAGTTCGAACAACACCGGGCGTACCTCGAATCCACCTCCAAAGATCCAGTAGAGCACGGGCAGCTTCGCATCTGCCGTAGTGCCCTGGGGACGAGCCACAGTGATGGTAAGGCAGTCCTCGGTCTGTCCAGTCGCCTTTTGGACAAAGGGAAGGTTCGCAATGTCTCCCAGTAAGTTGAACAGAATATTGTCGCTGTCGGAGGATGAGACCATTTGCGGGCAAGCAGCCGCCGGGCCGGTGGCGTCAAAGGTTCCAATGTTGTCTGTGAGGCGCACGGGAGGCTTCAATCGCAGTTGTCCAGTAGGTGACTTGGCGTAGGGGATGCCACCAAAAGATTCGACATTGTTCATGACGTTTCCGACGACGGTTGCTGTCTTGAGAACGACCGTCGCGTTGGCCACAGCCCTGTCTTCCAAAGGCTGGACATGGTCCGACACCGCCAAAGCGGCTCCCAGGAGGGAGAGGGACGAGACGAGAGCGGGAAACTGCATCGTGAAGAGACGAACGTTCGTCTGATAGATCCACAGAATAAACTGAGAATGACCGAAGGGAGGATGGAGCTAGGTGCGAGCTACAGGATAGACCCAGTCGATGGAGCTTGGCTGAAGACGATCTGGATGAGCTGCCTCGAACGACTCAAAAGAGGATCCCATCGTAGAGGGGGCTTCCCGCTGTCTATTTAAGTCAATTCTCCACGACGATCCAGGAACGACATTCCAGCGCAAAATTTGATCTAGTGTGGATTGACCGGTGAACTTCAAAGCCGCACCCACCATCGGGTTGAACACCCCTGGCATGTGGTCTAGTCTCTGTGTGTGGCCCGCGCGATTGAGCTAATTGCGAATGGGGGCACTTGCGAGTTTAGAATGAGCTTGGGCAAAAGGAGAAGCTCAGTCCCCGCCGACTGAGTCGTGGGCCTCACTAGTCGAGCGGGTATCGAACTCGTGCTCAACTCCTCAAGTGAACCCAGCATAAAAAATATTGGAAATGGGCAAACCGGGAATGCAACGTTCCCCATGGGGTAGCGGGGCTTATTGCCGGGATGTGAAGACGTATTTGGGTCGCTTCTGCGCGGGAAGAGATGGCCGAATGACCACGGCAGTTCAAGATACCCATTGCTCGGGGATGTCAGTGATCCCGCTGCGGCACAGCAAACGAAACGAAACAGCCTTATTGACGTAGGACAAGACTCGAAATTCACATGGGAATATGCAGAGTCACAATCGTGCCCCGCGTTCCCGCCTCGGTATGTCGGGCGGCAGAAAATGGTGGTATTCTTAAGCTAAGTCGCGCACGTCGAAAGCATGTAAGCGCAGGGGAACAAGGAGGGAGAGATACTGAATAGAGGCGGTCTGGTCGAACGGAACGGCGTGAGAATATTGTTTCTGAAGCGCATGTGATTGTGAGACAGCCCGTCGACGGACACCAGGAACCAGGAACTCTGTCCCAATCAGGCATCGATGTTCCTCTCATCTTGGACTTGTGGGTGTGAAGCTGTCGTGTGTCCGGCCGTGATGGTGGCTGCCCAGTGAGGGCATAAGCGCCCTGGACAGCTGGTGTTTGCTGCACGACAAACGGCGCGGGCGGCATGGCCAAGCTGTACGTTCCCAATAGTGCGTGAGTTTTCGTATTAATCGGGGAATGCGGGGTGAAAGTTCAAGATTTGATGCGCCTCCATCTCTGTTGGACAGTTGGAGTAGCACCAAAAGGACCCATCCCGAACGAGGTCGGCTGATGTAGATCGCCAACCTGGATCCTTGCACCGGCACTGGAGCCAGCCATCCACGAGGTTCGAGTCTTTCGGATTTGGTATCCTACCACGGTAATGGGCCCGAGATGCGTGGGGCTTCGGATCGAGAGATGTGCGAAAGAATCGAAGCTGATTCTTCGAGTTGAGAGGCAGCCGTGGATTCCGCGCATACAATTCACAAAGTGGGCAAGCAACGCACACAAAAACCGTTGAGGGGGCGGATAGGTCGGGATATTCCACCAGTATCTTAGCTCGAAAACAGAATCCACTCGAACGATGTTTGCAACGGGGGGGATCATACAGGATGACACTAGCATCTCGGCGGGGTGCTTTAGTGCAAGTCTGATCACACACACACATACACGCACACACATCTCTCATTCTCAAAGATGTTTACTGGTCGAATGAGGTTATGGAGGTTCCCGAAAGCGAGGAACGAGAGAAACGAGCTGACGATCTGGGAGAGTCAGTGTCTGCGGTCCGAAAAGGGCAATATTTACTCTTCGGACGGCCGCGGACACGAGGCGACCAGAGAGCGCTAGGCACGTCAAAGTCGGCTCTCGAGGCCTTCTACGTCCGAATTTGGGACTTAGCTCGTGACGGGGCGTTGAAAACGTCCGAATACCTCGGCCGAACTACTAGTAATCAACTAATAGTCTTACACACAGATGCGGCTCGTATGCTTTGACATCTTCAAGCATGTGTCTGCCATGCTCAAGAGCCATCGTGCGGCGTCCGTTGCTGTCGAGGGGGTGGAAAGAAGAAATGTGTTGTGCATGATCTTCCTCACGCTGCGCGCAAGCTTGTTAAGTGGGATTATCTTCGCGAGCAAGAAAGACCCCTGGCTTGCCATCTTTCACCGCCCAGAGAGTAAAGTAGTTAATATAATGTTGCGGGGATAATGAGATTGCCGGCTTCTCAACAGGTGTGGAGCCGGAATTATGGTCAAAATCAAGTTATTCCCTGCTTGAGAGATAGAATTATCCCATTCTTAGCAGGAGCTACTGGGCCGCCCTTGATTCCTCGAAATCTTTACTTGGACATGAAATCCCTCGTGCAGAGACCATTGGTATCCGCAATTGTTGAGGAGTTGAAGACATTTTCTACGGAAGTAGTCCTGAAGCTGGCGAGCTAATGTGCGGATAGAGGTCCGAACCCTTATCAACCGGCCGAGCCGCAAACGAAGAGCTAGTGAAACTCGCAAGTTTTGCCAAAGAAGCTTAGTGCTGCAGATGTCAACTTAACGATAGACAGGAACAACAACAGAGGCATTCTCTTGACGACTTCTCACACATCACATCGGAGATCATCCCCCGCGTGTGGGCAGGTTTTGCGCCGTGACCCTAGCTCCCGCAGCTAGACACTTTAAACTTCAGGACTGTGTTCAGTCCGCCCAAGCGTCCGAGCAACGGTTCATCCGTCGTCCATCCTGTCGATTCAGAATGTTGGCCCGCTCCGCTTGCAGCTTGCAGCTCTTTGAGAACCCCCAATTTTCCGTATCCGCCAAAGAATGCCC